CAATGCTATGCTTCTCTGAGGTGAAGCTATTACAAATTACTGAATAATACCCCCCCTCCTACCTCCTTCCAAAAAAAGGATGATTTAACTCATCTGCACTGTATGGCTATATTTTTCAGATCTACATATATACAGATCGAGTTGGATTTAAGATAAAACTTTTACTACATACAGAAGTAATATCCTGAATATTCTATTTATCCAGATATTGCAAGCGTGTGATAAAACTGCAAATTCATCAGTTTATCATTGTGTATGCAACATTGAATCTCCATAAATAATTATTGGTTTCTCTGCACCAGTTTGCGGGGGACCAATGTTCATGGCTTTCCTGGTTTACCCTTTCCCACAAGTTTAATGTCCATATAAGCAATATTTCAGATAACATATTAGTTATTAGAATCTTTTTTATGTATGGGTGACCCAAGAAATGACACTCTCACAAACTAGAGAGATTTTCATTGCCCATTGAAACGTTGTTCATAGATTAAGGAAGGAAAGAGTATCCTAAAATTCTAGAATGTCTGTATATTAGACCAGCGATATAAGGTGATGATAATGAATGGTGAGAAATCAGAAATCTGTAAAACAAAAAATGTGAAGAAAGTGAGAAACAAAAACTGCTGGAAATTCCAGAGGTGGGATGCCTAGGAGCAGTAACCTAACAATCCAGTTTGGAATAAACCCCAGTCTTGTTCATCTGGAATAAACCCACAATCCTGTTAATTGGAAATAAACCCACAATTCTGTGCTTGGATAAGAACCAAAATCCTATTCGTCTTGGTTGGACTTTAGTCCTACAATTCCATGTCTGAGTTGGACCCACATTCACATTTTTTCAAATGCTTCCCCAAATATTACCTGTTTAAAATGCAGCAAGGTGTATTCTGATATTTGGTTGAAGAAGTGGTTGTGGGTTAGAGATGGAAAAACTTGCATGATTTTCATTTATGTGGAATGCATTGTGTATTGTAGTTTGAATATTGTAAATGCACTCATTAATTTGATCCTTTGTTTTTACATTACAGATAACTTAAAAAGAAATGATAAAAGTTCCTGCTTATATTTAGTTGCATGAAAAGCTGCAATTTTATTTATTTTTTTCTTTTACAGCAAACAATGGACTTTCAGAGGGTGCCCCACACTGGTTAAAATCAATTCATCAACTGACAGAAGTGGAAAGCTCACCTTTCATGCAACATTTTCCTCCCAGACATTCATGTAAGTCAAAATCGTACAAAAAATCTGTCTTTTAAGGTAGAAACCATGAAGGGCCGTGTCTAAAGTTGTTTTTTGTTTGGGTTGAATGCTGTTACATCATTAAAATTAATTTTTTTTTCATCTGAAGAACAATCAGATTTTAAATTCACTAATTTCAAAGTAGAAGAATTTAATTTCCTGTGAAAGAGAACTGAAATTTTGATAGCTAACATTTTAGAATTTGGCAGATGTAAGGAATTACATGTGTACTGGTATAAAATGTTAAGACTGCATATTATGCGGGCTTCACATTAACAGCTTGTCCTCTGGATTTCAGACTCTGCTGGCTGGCCTACTACACAGAATCCACCTCCAGGGTTCCAGTCTACAGTTCATCCCACAACACAGCACCCAGAGCCACACAAAATCTCAGAAGGTAGGCTACTAGCATGGGTAACCCCCCCCCCCCCCCCCCCCCCAAAAAAAAAATAATATTAATAATAATTTTGCATGAAAGGGAAACAATTTTTTAAAATATTTTATGTGCATTTCTACTTTAAAAATTATGTACACATGCATTTAAAGTTTTGGATTGTATTTAACTACCTGGGTCATATCTTCATGAAAATTAATGCATTGGAATTACATGTATATATCACATGCAGAAAATATCAGGAGTTCTTTCATTAAAGAAAACCCCCATGTAAAAAAAAAATTGATACATGCAGCCACTCAAACAAAAAAGCTAGATTAATTGAACAATTTTATTTAATTCTGTAAATATACAGTGACACTGAAACCTAAGGTTGTTGATTTTCTATATCACTGATGGGAATTATATCTTCGTAATAATTGATGTAAATTGAAAGTCAGTGTTGTGTTATATTTATAAAGAATTGAGAAAATTGTTTCAGCAAGAGTCTATAGATTGTGATCATCCATTGTTGCGGCAAATTTCTGCAGATTTAATTCATTCCGAGTTGCTATCAAACTAATATAATACTGATTTAACTATTTTTGGTTCAAAATTTTCAGAAATACACTTTTATTTTTACAGGTCTTCAATAAGCCAGAAAAAGAAACTGGAAGCTGACAGAATTCTCTCCCCCCTCCTGTGACTCATCTTTAACCTGTACACCTGTTCGAGCCATTCATTGGAGAAAAACAAAAAAGACACAGATTATATAAAATAGGACAGTGATCAGCAGTAGAAGTGCTTTTAACTTAATACTGTAAACCCCCCTCAGATTTAGTCAGGGTAGTGTAACAAGCATTCAATTTTACTTTTGCCTCTGGTCATCTTGGTGAATTTCAACCTACTGGTACAATCATTTGATGTCATATATATATATATATAAAAAAAGAAAGTACAGTTTTACGCCTTACAATGCTGTTGTATGTGAACTTACAGGTTTTGAACAATGAAGATCACTTTAAGAGATGAGAGAGAAAAAAAAATCTGATATTTTGTGATAATTGTATGGTAATCATCTATGTGTGTTTAATTTATTTTCTATTTTCACTAGTTCATGATAGATTTATGTACTTGACTTGACCAGAGGTAAATGTCGCAAGGTTTCTTCTCCAAAACAGCATTTTATAAGTGCTCCCTTGTTTTAGTTGACATATTACTATGTATTGGGCATTGACTGCCATTGTAAAACACAGGCAAATGCTGAGGGAGTGTGCTGGAGGGGCAACACAACTCAGCCAGGATTTTAACATCAGACAGTATAACATTAAATGTTTTAAACAACTAGATCTTGTGTCCTTTTTTATTTCATTTCATTTTGAGCTGAAAATGTTTGTACTAGTTTTTCTGAGCAAAATTCTGTTTGTTGTTTATGGTGTAGTTGTAAACTTTTCAAAATGTCATCAAGAAACAGAGGACCAATTTCATCCAAACTTGGCACAGAGTATTCTTGAGTGGAAAGAAATCAATATTGTTTGAATGAAGAGCTGTGCTCTGGGAAGAAAAAATATCGGTGAAAATTTAATGATTTTAAAATCTTAACAAACCAATGAGCCAAAAACATAGCATGTGGATGACAACACCTTAAGATCATGGTGGGACCACAAAAGGGGATCAAAGGTTTACATAAGAATAGCCATTGTCCATATGTTTTCTCTGCCCATATAAAAATATTTCACATTTTTGACCTCTACTAAAAATACTTGATAAAAATAGGGATATGACCTGTTAACATTGGGAGATAATTAGTGAAATTAAAAGAAATGGTTGCTAAAAATTCTCAAAAACCACTAGGCAGATTATCACTTAACTTGCACACAAGCTTACTAAAAAGTTGACCAAAATTTATTTTTATTTGAACTTTGATATTTTGCTTACTATAGACCTACTAAATCCTTGTCAGCAAATTTTGTCAGTAAGTGGATCTTAGGACTTGATTATGTTTTAAAAGTAGGTCACAGTGACCTACATTTTGAATATTGTCTTGTGGGTATCAATTTTAAGTTAAAATTTTATACATAACATGAATACTTTTAATCTTATGGTCACCTATGCTTGTCGGTTTTTACACCACGTGGCTTTGGAGTGTGTAGGTACACTTTTTTTCTTTGCAAAAAAATAGGTCATGTTGATCAACTTTATTTGAGGGCTAATTGTTTTCAAAACATATGTCATTATTTCAGTTACTCAGAAGTTAAGATTCGTCAAACGGAATAAGTAGTTACACCATGGGACCTTAAAATTTATTATTAAAAAGCAGGTCACAGTTACCTACTTTTTGAATTGTTTAGGTATTCAGGGTGTGTCAGCCAAAAAGTAGGTCTTCTTGAGCTACTTTTTGCATTTAATAGCTTTATTACATTATTAACAGGTACTGACTGGCTTAGAATCATCAAACTTGTATTTAGATCCACAGAGTATGTCACCTAAAAAGTAGGTCATTGTGGCCTACATTTTAATAAATGTGATAAGGTAATACATGTACCTTAATTTCAGTTAATAATAGGTTAAGAATCATCTATGCCAGTTTATACATCTCTGGTCATTGGAGTATTTCTATCAAGAAGTCATCATGACCTACTTTTGGATTTATGGCTATTTTTCAAATACTCATTGGCTTGGAATCATCAAATGTTGTCGGTACATCCTGGGTCCTCAGAATATGTCAATAAAAAGGCACAGTGACCTAAGAGGCTTAAAATCATAAGATTTTGTCAGTTGATACAGCTCGGTTAACAAAAATGTTCGTCACCATGACCGACTTTTGGCATTTCATGGCTACATCTGAATAAATATTTGAGATGATAAGGGGCTTAGAAACATCACACTTTGTCAGTTGATGCATCTAGGGTTTTCAGAGAGTGTTAGCCAAACTGCAGGGCTTTCTGACTTACAGGTACTTTTTGGAATTTCAAGGCTTTATCTTAATACGTAGGATAGTAAATGACTGAACAAACAGAAGAGATACTGTAAGTCACGAAATTTTCGCGACACCTTTTTTTGCGAAATACTCCCAGTAGTCATTGACTCTTGATAAGAGAGACAAAATTTTCACGAATTGTGGTTCTTGCTCTGTATTATCCTAAGGAATACTATTAAATGCGAGAATTAAATTTTCGCGAGCACACTGTCTCGCGTAATTACGCGAAAATAAAGTTCTCGCGAATAAAAAGTGATTTACAGACTATACAATTTATCCCCGGTATAAATTGCTTTCTACACGCCTGCTAAAATATGTTTTGCGAGGATCACTTGAAGTATAGAAATATCTAGTGAAACTCCCTGGTTTCCCCGTAGTATTCTTAATGTATAGAAAATCATAAAAACATTTTGAACTGTGAGAAAGTCTTTATTCTAAAAATATATATTCCCGTTTCTTCCTCTACCTACAAAGTATACTTGTATTAGTAGCATTACAATATTAATTTAATATCCATTGTCCGACAATTTACCCTGAAATAAAAAGGACCATTTCTGCCTTCTTGAGTTCTTCGAGTTTCTATCATAAGATTTTTGTTGGCTAAAAAAACCCAGTTGTGTCAACGTTTTTGCTCTTGTCCTTCTGAACAATTTATGGATATAGGAATTGTGGTCGTGCAGGGCTCTCGATCAAGTTACAATCTTTGTACAGACGAAATCGTTGACCATGCGGAACCCTTTTAATCATGTCAAAAACTGAGTCATCCCTTCCAGCTAAAAAAGAAAAAGAAAAAAAAGAAAAATATTAAGCTTCATCTACGTTATACGATATGACACTGCCTACCCTAGAAATAATTCGTACTTCTAAAAATAACATATGTAAGATTGCCATCGATGTAGTGTAACTTTAGGCTTTACTAGACAATTGGCTTACTCCATTCAACCATACCGATAATATGAAAATGTACGTTCGCCTGCACAAGACCGTACACACTTTACAGGTGAACATTAAATTTTTTTTTCTACAATCAACCAAAGATAGATCAAGAACTTTTTATATTGATTCACTTTCGTTATTCCTCACGATAAGTTAAAATCTAGACTCATATAATAGACAACTGCTTCTCTTAATAAAAATGAACTCGGAAATTTTCTAATCCGGCGATGTCATCAGCAAAATTCCTTTGATAAAAACCACTCTGATTGTACACACAAGCAGTTTGAATTTGATATAATAAGGATTCTGGAGTTCCTGATTGACAACATTTATATACTCCCGGGTGTCCTCAGAGATCAAGCTTTCCAACAATTAAACTGTAGGATTTCCCGTGGGCACTAATTGCGCTCCTTTATTTGCGAACTGTTGTTATATTATTTTGAAAGAGAATTTATTCAAAAACTTCTACGAGGATTGTCCGGTAAAATCATGGAAAAGTTGTCTGGAGTAAAAAATAATCCCCTCGAGTAAGATTGACATGCAGTCCCGATTTATTTGAATGTAAATTATTTAAAATTTTCGATTTTGAATGAATACACTTATACGCATCAAATTAAAACTTGTTTTATTAAAAGGTACCTACAATTCGTTCTGGAAATTTTGAATCTGTAGTAAGGATCCCCGGACAGCGGAAGAATACGAAGACAGAGAACCCCGTCTATTCCTTTCTGTATATTAGTGGCCCTGGTGAGTCAAAGCGAGAAACTTAGATAGAGCATAGATTTTCTACTTTTTTTTTCTTTTGTAAAAAGAACCAGAATATTATTTTTACCTAATTTATTAATAATATATACATGTAGTGAAAAAATAAGCAGCGACAATATAAATTTTCAAGCAACATATAATGATGCAGTTCTAACCTTAAAATAAAGTTGTCTTTGTCTCTTGTGTCGCAGCTGAAGTGGAGTGTGGTTCTATTCATTGTGATGAAGTACATGTCGTATTTTGTAAATGATAGCCGCCATGCTCCCTGTATTGTCGTCTGCCACATGAGTCGGAGAGTTGGCGGGAACCGACACGTCTTTTCTGAGCATAGTATACTTAGTATTACGTTTATGAATACAGTAGATACTGGTGTTAAATTCATACATATAAAGCACAATAAAACTAGTGTCTTCGATAAATTGTGCATCTATGATTATATGCACAATGTATTTAGTTGACTAAAAGATACAGTTTTTATCCTTAGCTGCAGAACTATAGCTCTAAAAAAATATATGGACAGCACCGTCCATCCAATTTTTTCAGACCAGTGAACTACAGATCTGCAGCTATTTTATCTTGGGAATTGTGACAAAGTTACACATTTTAGATATATTGTGAAGACTGCAATAAGTGATGCGTACTTGCCCTATGTACATAGTACTGTATTTGTGACTGGACCCCATTGCACATACTGTTGATACTTGGAGTCACCATAGCTGGTACCGAAACAGGGGCCATCAAAGGGTGACCTGCGGCTTCCTCTACAACAAAGTGAGTGATAAAATCAAATTAGTGGAATATCATTAATTTTTATCAAAGGAATGGTTTCAAATAGCAGCTGGAAATATTTAGTGAAGAGGCAAGCAGATCTTACGTGACAGTCTCCATACACTAAAATCAGCTTTGGGTACATCAACCGAAACAAATCCTATACACAATATTCCCTGGGCGTTTTCTTCATTAACTCGAGTTCTGGAAAAGTGATATTTATGTATTTTGAAGGACAAATCAGTCACTTAAATTGACAAAACTAAATAAATGTTGTTTTTTTAAAAAGTCAAACGATACCTAAGCATGAAGGTTTGGCCTTTAGCCTCTAGACATTTATAGCGTATCGTCTTCTTTCCGGCTTGTTTGAAAACCAGACTTTTCTTCCGGACCCTCAACACAGAGCCAGGTTCATCCCGGAAGTACCACTTGTCCCGGATGTTTAAAGGAGTGCTGCAGTTTGACCTACAGTCTAAAACATATTAAACAGAATTAGTTCTACCAGTAATTTATACTGCTTATGGACATTGGAGAGCAATGTTTAATGAAGATCTTCATAAAGTCACCAGAGTTTTGGATTAATGTTGCAAAGCACAGCAAAAAGACCCAGACCCTACAAAAGAAGCAACAATCGTAGCATCAGTGTGTCTTCAAGTCCGCTATCAGAATATCATAAAATTGGTTTGGTCCAACCAAAAAATTTCAAAGCAACTTAAAGAATCAAGATATTAATTTATGTCATAAAGTCCTAATTTTAAGAGCAAACCATTGTTGAAGCGTCCATCCTTTAATATAGTTCATAATTCTCTAATCCACACTTCTTATAAATATAATGTTACACAATGTATATGTTAAACGGACATTCCAAGAGATGGAGTCATCATGGGAAACCGGAAGCTCAACTTAGTCCTGGGAACAGCATCATCGCTTTAGAAATCTTTCCGAGTGTTTTGTACTAATCCAGGCCACTTAGTTTGTTGAATTCCATTGTAACAGTTTATGTCCACGATTTATGTCGCCCGTCTATCTCCTAATCACCCCTAATTGGAGTTTAGCGCCTGACTGATCCAAATGTCATTTTAATACGTTTCAGAAACAAGAAATGTACATGCGATTTATTGTTACAATTATTATTTTTACAGGAATTAGTCCATTATTAGTGCTTGGTGAGTATAGAGACTTGTAAAATACAAACACTCTCCAAAACTTTATTTCGCTTTCATTTCTTTCTTTAATCGGTCCAATACATGGAACTGTTTAACCCAATTTGCATATAAATGTGTATGTAAATTTCTATCCAGGAGATTGTAATTTGATTGAAATTCCGAATGGAAGATCCAGTTTCCGAATGAAAGGGCGAGCAATATCGTTTACTTGTAATGATGGATTTGTTCTGTACGGGGAATCTTACGACACCTGTAGGAACGGTTTCTGGAGCAGACCCCCACCAAGGTGTGTGGGTAAGTGTACTATGACCTTGATGAAGTATAATATACTATGAAATATACTTTAGATACATTCAGAAACCATGTTAAGTTAGTTAAGGCTGGTTTCATACATAATTTTGAAATGTTTGAAAACTGACAGTAAAGTACAATGTATGAATTGTTTTTGGAAAAAAAAAAAACGCACAAGGAACATGACGGAAAGTAACCATATTACAAAATAACATTGATTCCTTTGAAAGAATTTTTAGACGGTTGTAAAAATATAGTGAAGTCATTTTTTAAAAAAACAAACACAACTTTCATCTTTTTCCCAAATTTTTGCTAAAATAAAGCACAGTGATCGAAAACCCTTGGCATGCGAAGATGGCCTTGGAGCTATTTGCAAAAATACTGATCCATCGAACTGCATTATACCCCTACTTAATTTTCACAGAGAATTGCCTCCAGGCGGTCAGTAATGATGACTTTTTTTATTGAAGGATGTTGTAAAATATAATTTGATTCCACTTCTAAACAAGCACAAAATTCAACAGCTTAACGGTCATTCTAATAAAGATATACGGTGTTAATAATTTAAAGTGGCTAATTGAAGTCATGGTTTATTAATGTTTTTAAATGCATATCACTAAATTTGAAGTTTAATGTTCAGAAAATGAAATAAACATTAATGTAAATGTTATTGTTTTGGATGACAAATCATTAGAATTAACATCGATACCACGAACAGGCCAAGGAGTCGTCATATAATTCAACTTCTTCAGATAAAAAGCATTTAATACATACACAGACAAGTCGGAGAACTGATGATCAGAAATTATCAATTTAAGAGTACATGCAGTACTTACATTATCGTCATCTTATGACGATAGTTTATACTAGTACTGCACTTGACTGCAACTTGATTACTTGGGGAGTATAACTTATCTAGTAACCGAAACAGATTTTTTCTGGTATTTTATTTTTTGTGTTAAATGTCTGCAACATTCGTTTTTTTTTTTCATAATTCGCATTGACACACCCTGTAAAAAAGGAAAATATCAGAATTTCTTCTTTAACTATATCAAAATAATACATGTGGTATCCTTTTTGGAAAACAAAAAAATCTGTGCTTTATAGAGTATAGTAAAGGTCAGTGTTGTTTGCGTCACTGCATGTTCTCTATACTAGTACTACAGCGGTAGTATTTGCTAAAAATACATTTATAACACCGAATCATAATTGGTACTGGATGACTCACCACGAAACCATTTTAAGTCATATTCTCATAACTATCTTCCCATGCAGTTTTTTGCCCTTTTAATCAAAGATTCGAAGGCATTTAGTCAATTTTTTGGTCTGTCCGTCTGCCTGTTGTATATGTTGTCTGCAAAACCATTAACCTTAACTTTGATTGGTTAGAGTTAGTGCTTTCATGTGAGATTGAACTATAACCAATAAACTGTTGGTGCTAAGGCTATCGTGTATTCATTATGACGAAACCTTTATTTGCTAAACCAATATTTTTATCACATGGTCTTGACCTTGGAGTTCATCTTTTGAAAACGATAAACTTGGCCATATCATATTTTTTGGAAGTCTGGAGCAAGAACTTTTTACATTTCACATTTTTATTCCTTGTGACAAATCTTTTATGGTTACTAAGGCATTTGACCTCTTGATCTTGTAGTTTTACTTGCACTTGAGGGACACATCTTGGCAATAAAATAGCAACAGGGCATCAGTTGTTCACAAAATTTTGTTAATGGAAATTGATAATATTTTTAGCAAACTTCAACATGTTCAAGGGGAAGTTATATATAAATATAAATATTTATATATTTTATAAAACTACGATTTTATTTTACTCGTATTTATATATTTATATATATATATATATATATATATATATATATATATATATATATATATATATATATATATATATATATTTATATATATAACAGATTACTAAAAATGTTAATCTTTTGTAAAATGCTGATATTTTCTCAAGCTTTGTACCATATGGTATAACGACAATGTTCCAAATTTATTTTATCTCTATCTTCTTTTCGAAGATCATTTTTAGCTCACCTGAGCCGAAGGCTCAAGTGAGCTTTTCTGATCACATTTTGTCCGTCATGACCGTCCCATCTGTAAACTTTTCACATATATAGAACAAATCTTTAAAAAGTTCTTCTCAAGAACCACTGGGCTCAATTTTAAAAACTTGGTACAAAGCATTCTTGGGTAAAGGGGAGTTAAAATATATAGTCTTTAAAAATCTTCTTCTCAAGGGCCACTGTCCCCTTACAAAGGGAAATAATCAAGATTAAATTCTTAAAAATAGGGTGTGGTCAAGTTCTAAATAAAATATATAGAACTTCTTCTTCAAGAACCACTGGGCCAGGAAAGCTGAAACTTATGTGGAAACATCCTTGGGTAGTGTAGATATTAAATTGTTAAAATCATGACCCCCGGGGGTAGGGCGGGGCCACAATAGAGAATCCAAGTTTTACATAGAAATATATAGAACAAATCTTTAAAAAACTTCTTCTCAAGAACCACTGGGCCAGGAAAGCTGAAACTTATGTGGAAGCATCCTTGGGTAGTGTAGATATATAATTGTTAAAATCATGACCCCTGGGGGTAGGGCGGGGCCACAATAGGGAATCCAAGTTTTACATAGAAATATATAGAACAAATCTTTAAAAAGTTCTTCTCAAGAACCACTGGTCCAGGAAAGCTCAAACTTATGTGGAAGCATCCTTGGGTAGTGTAAATATTAAATTGTTAAAATCATGACCCCCGGGGGTAGGGCGGGGCCACAATAGGGAATCCAAGTTCTAAATAGAAATATATAGAACAAATCTTTAAAAATCTTCTTCTCAAGAACCACTGGGCCAGGAAAGTTTTACATAGAATATATATTGTTGAAATCATGACCCCCCGGGGTAGGGCACAATCTTTAATAGAAATATATAGAACAAATCTTTAAAAATCTTCTTCTCAAGAACCACTGGGCCAGGAAAAACTTATGTGGAAGCATCCTTGGGTAGTGTAATATATAATTGTTAAAATCATGACCCCTAGGGCGGGGCCACAATGTGTTTTACATAGAAATATATAGCAAATCTTTAAAAAGTTCTTCTCAAGAACCACTGGGTTATGTGGAAGTAGTGTAAATATTAAATTCTTAAAATCATGACCCCTGGGGGTAGGGCGGGGCCACAATAGGGAATCCAAGTTCTAAATAGAAATATATAGAACAAATCTTTAAAAATCTTCTTCTCAAGAACTACTGGGCCAGGAAAGCTGAAACTTATGTGGAAGCATCCTTGGGTAGTGTAAATATTTAATTGTCAAAATCATGACCCCCGGGGATAGGGCGGGGCCACAATAGGGAATCCAAGTTCTAAATAGAAATATATAGAACAAATCTTTAAAAATCTTCTTCTCAAGAACCACTGGGCCAGGAAAGCTGAAACTTATGTGGAAGCATCCTTGGGTAGTGTAGATATATAATTGTTGAAATCATGACCCCCCGGGGTAGGGCGGGGCCACAATAGGGAATTCAATTTTTACATAGAAATATATAGAACAAATCTTTAAAAATCTTCTTCTCAAGAAACCACTGGGCCAGGGAAGTTGAAACTTATGTGGAAGCATCCTTGGGTAGTGTAGATATATGATTGTTAAAATCATGACCCCCGGGGGTAGGGCGGGGCCACAATAGGGAATTCAAGTTTTATATAGAAATATATAGACAAATCTTTAAAAATCTTCTTCTTAGAAACCACTGGGCCAGGGAAGTTGAAACTTATGTGGAAGCATCCTTGGGTAGTGTAAATATTAAATTGTCAAAATCATGACCCCCGGGGGTAGGGCGGGGCCACAATAGGGAATCCAAGTTTTAAATAGAAATATATAAACAAATCTTTAAAAATCTTCTTCTCAAGAACCACTAGGCCAGGAAAGCTGAAACTTATGTGGGTGCATCCTTGGGTAGTGTAGATATTATATTGTTAAAATCATGACCCCCGGGGGTAGGGCGGGGCCACAATAGGGAATCCAAATTTTACATAGAAATATATAGAACAAATCTTTAAAAATCTTCTTCTCAAGAACCACTGAGCCAGGAAAGCTGAAACTTATATGGAAGCATCCTTGGGTAGTGCAAATATTAAATTGTTAAAATCATGACCCCTGGGGGTAGGGCGGGCCACAATAGGGAATCCAAGTTTTACATAGAAATATATATAGAACAAATCTTTAAAAATCTTCTTCTCAAGAACCACTGGGCCAGGAAAGCTGAAACTTATATGGAAGCATCCTTTGGTAGTGTAGATATTAAATTGTTAAAATCATGACCCCTGGGGGTAGGGCGGGGCCACAAAAGGGAATTCCAAGTTTTACATAGAAAAATATAGAACAAATCTCTAAAAACCTTCTTCTCAAGAACCACTGGGCCAGGAAAGCTGAAACTTATGTGGAAGCATCCTTGGGTAGTGTAGATTCTAAAGTTTTAAAATAAAAAAGGGAAGGGGTTGTTGGACATGATAGGTATAGCAAGAGGGGGAATCTGGTAAAGATCTGCATCACCCAAGTTACTCAGGTGAGCGATGTGGCCCATGGGCCTCTTGTTTTAGTGAGCACGAGTCATTCTTCCAAATGTTTTTAAAGAAAAAAATCATCAACAGAAGCCATTTAATATTTTCGAAAAAAATATTTTCATAGCTCCTGGATGTCCATTGATACAGAATATAACAAATGGTGACGTCATCAGATCCCACACTGGGTCTGTGATTGAGGTCACGTGTCACAATGGGATGACCATACAAGGAGAGGCTCTTCTAACTTGTGATGGACGAAACTGGAGCTCATCCATTCCAAAATGTCTAGGTAAATATTTCTGGCAGTTTAGATGCCATGTAACGTAAATTCAAAGTAATACCATTTTCCATATCAGACCTATAATCAGGAAGCTCTTAAATTTCATGTAGAACCTTCTGAAGTTGATAGTTGTGACTTTGAATCTAGTCAATTTTGTGGGTGGAGTCAGGACCAAACGGATGATTTTGATTGGACACATCACAGCGGGCAGACATCAACAGGAAGAACCGGTCCAAACACTGATCACACCCTAGGACCCAATTATACGACTGGTATTTATCATCGCTGAAAAAATCTTTAAAAAATAAAAAATGCAAAAAATCCAAATGCAAATGGAGAATTTATTATGTCAACTTTAATAGATTTGGAAAAAGAAAAATAATTTAGAATTTTTCCTTTACTTGCTCATAAATGGAATGTTCATCAGTGAAATTCAATTGATACTTCCATTCAGTTTACTGTATCACTAATAGAAAAATAGATGTTCCCTAATTACATAATATTTTTATTCTTTCACTTCCTAGGTCATTATATTTATATGGAGGCTTCCACCCCTAGACATCCAGGTGACGTGGCCCGTTTATTATCTCCATGGTATCCCAGTGACCGTAGCAACCGATGCTTTAGATTTTGGTACCATATGAACGGTCCTAATCAACTAAATGGTAATTATATTAATTTGTAACAAGCAATATTATCTTATAAAAATGTTTTCACTTAACATTAAAGATTAAAATATTACCAAAATATATTTTAGCTGTGGGAACATTAAAGGTTTTGCTTCGGACTGGAAGCGGAAAAAAATTTAGCGAAAAGATTTTATTTACAATGTCCGGAAATCAAGGAGAGGACTGGAAATGTGGACATTTCAAAATTCCGATTTGTTCAGAAAGGTTTCAGGTACTTAAGACATTTAAATTCTTTTAACTAGTTTTTGTACACACAATGATATGTGGAAACATCATTGTATTTGTTAAATGAGTGCTGAAGAGGTTTTTCTAAATGAAATTAAAAGATGAATTCATATCTTGTTAGATTGTGTTGGAAGCAATACGACAGGACAGTTATGCCAGTGATATTGCAGTAGATGACTGGCTCATGCTTCCTTGCAAACCGCCGGATCTGTGTATGTATCACTAATCTGTTGCTACATTTTTATATAACTAATTTTTATATATCGTATTTCATACTGAAAGAAGATGGTACATAAAAACTAGTATTAAAAGCAATACATATATAGATCGCCGAAATCCGTAATAGAATTATCCTTCTTTGAACAGTATTCTGGAACAAGAAAAGTAATAGGTTTAATGACATAGAGAAGATAACAAGCAAAAATCGGTCTTAAATTTGTTTTAAACAGTGCAAATCTGTAAAAAAAAACAAACAACAAAAACAACACAAACGTGTGAATATGGCATTAAACATGAACTCCTGGACAACCAGAGGTGGGATCAGGTGCCTTGGAGGAGTGAGCATCCCCTGTTGGCTGATCAATGTAGTGAGTCTTGTGTATTGATCAAGTTGATAGAGTCATTCGTTGTCAATCTTATCATTGAATCAAAGGTCTAACTTAGTTTTGGTATGAAACATGTCCGTTGAATACGACTCATGGATAGCTTTTTTTTAAAAAAAGTTGTTGAAATTTGATTTCCTTGTATCATAAGTAAAAAAAATATGGCATATTTAAGACTGTATTTCTTTTCTTAAATTCCACCATGATCAATCAATTTTGTTATTTCTGATTTCTTTCCGTGGTTCAAAAATATTTTTTTGCATCGTTCTTTCAGCTCTTCCTGATCCAGCTGCACAGTCAGCAAGACAATCAACAATCAGTGAAGGAATATCATCGGTTTCATCACGTGATACCACAGAAGGCGTAGACATCTCAACAGGGATGTTTACAACGCCATCTACCGTCAAGAATACGACAGAAACGTTCACTAAAGATGACACACCCACTATTATGACTACTGCAGAAAACAGCGTTAATATCACGATTACTTATGATTCATCAACCACTTCAGAGCAATCTTACCACACAGAGTTATATAAAACTCCAGAAGACAATTATACATCGTCAACAAGTTTGAGCGCACTTAGTGATCATTCCAGTACAGAAATTCTCAGTAGGAAGTCATCATTTGCCAGCAGGAGCATCGCCACCACAGCACCGGAAGCCCCTTCGTCCAGTTCCACGAACAAGTTAACAAAACCCCCAGAAATATCACAGACAGACAGATACTCAAATTTTACAAATAACGAATCAAATACCAACACTTTCTCAAAGGAACCATCTTCTACAACTCGGAGATCATTGCTACATAATTCAACTCATAAAAATCACCATCTCATTGTGTTTACAGCCGAAGCCATTGTGAATATGTGTATAGGACTGGTTGTTCTTTGCCTGTTTACAGTGATACTTGTTATAATGGAGTGTATCTGCAGGAGGCAGCAAAAAATCTACAATGACAAATACCAAGAACTCAAGCTGTTTGTAGAAACACATTATAGAACTAAATATATTACAGTGTAAGTCTGCATTTATATATATAACGGGAGAGGAGAAAACGCAAAATTGAAAATTTGCTCTACCAACTGAGCTATCTATTGTTACCGCCACATCCCTCCCTCCTTAAAGGTCTTTGGCCCTCCAAAGACCCCAACCCAGGCTCATCCCTGGCAGGCCTTCCACCTGTCAATTCCAGGGCATGGCACGGCACCAAATATAACGGGAGAGGAGAAAATGCAGAGCACCTGATTAAGTTTTTTAATATTTGTTTTACATTAAAAAAATTTTTATTGTTAACCAAATGGAGAATAATATTTATATATATAAAACACCTATGATAATTTTTTTAAAATATTAGATATTTTTGATTTAAATTTAACAAAATAAAACAGTTTCATTATAAAACAATACTGTTCATTTATTTAGAGAAGCAAAATACACATGTAATTTGATTTGGAGCATACTTGTATCATTGCGAGTGTTATAGATGGTATTGGAGAAATCTGCCATGTGTTACAAAGCACATTGTAAAACACATTGTGTGATATTTATTTAAAAATTCAATAAAAGTCTTAATGATATATTGTAATCTGTGTTAACCTTATAAACCAGGGACTTGTCTTAACATTTCAGTGAGTGATCCATGGTTTACGGAGAGGCGAAAACAAGTAGACTTTAATCTAAAATAACCTTTAGTTAGCATATTTGGGTTCATCCAAGAGTTCAATTAAACAACACTGTGAAAAAAAATTTATCATTCTACACACGACTAGCAATTTTAAATAGAGAAAAAAAAATTGGAAACTCTCTAATTTGCATAAAAAAATGTCGAGGATTGTTTTGGCATTTTACAATATACATGTATTGCAACCAACTAGATAAATAAAAGTACTCAGAAAACCCACTTTGGCGGGTACTTATGTTGTCTGATGCCATTAAATGTTCCTCTAAAGGATAAAATTCTCCACAAAATACAAGGAAGTAGACAGGATTCACCAAAGTCTTAAATCTTCCTGTACTGTGGAGGAAATCGGGAGTCTTTCGTGTCCATTAGAAGTAAAGCTACCAGTACGTCCTTTTAGTGATTATGAAGACCCATTTAGGTAGGAATCCAATATTTTTGTTTTTTCTTTGTAGACAAGAATAGATATGGCCGGGTTACCCCGTATCCAAAGATAATCGACTTTAAGATTTAATATGTTTAACAGTGTTAGCGAAATTTACACAAGTTCTATAACTAGACAGTGCAGTTGTATTTTTATAAACGTCATTAAGGAGTCCGTAGCATTACGAGAGAATATCTAGGTCATTCTTCGGTTGATATTTTTTCACTGATGAATTGATTATACTATATCAACAACTGTAGTAAAATCATGTTGATTGTTCGTTAATAATCATATAGTTTCCTCTTAGGGAAGAAGAAAAAATATCATTCTGTGTGTGTAGTATATTAAATGACGGAATTTTCAATCCCTGAGAAGATTCCTACACGTGTATAGACAAACTATACATAGGGAGAGTACTTATAAAATGTGTAACAAAACCCGAACTGGCCGGGGATTTCTAAACTGACAATCGTTTAATTTTTATTAATCAGAATTTGTATTCATGTGATCTAATTATGAAAAAAAGTTCTGTCTGCCATCGTAACTTCTCTGTTCGCGGAACTCCATCGCACGTGTGTATAGACCAAGGCTAACTGGTTTTGCGGACATAGGTATGTGTACCGTTTGTTAGCATGGTCAGGAGACTGGGTGACCTTATCAAACATGTTTAAAAAAAAGCTGAGGAGGGAGCGAGCGTAGGAATATTAACATTTTTTATTTGCATTTAGGGGGGGGGGGGGTGATCTTTGGAGGAAAAATTAACATTAATTTTGGTTTTTTTACGTATGACATACACAACATTATTCTTATCATGAACAATCATGTTGTATCTACTTATTAATGATGGAACTATTTTTGTCGGAACAACTTGTGTGAGTCGTCGTTGACTACAGTTAATATATCTTGAACTAATAGTGTGCACCGATCGAATATATTAAAAATAGACATGATTTGTTAAAACACTACAATATTAAAGATAATGTTTAAAACATTAACGATAGTGTCAAACACTTTAAAGATATTAAAAAAAAATTACTTTTAAAAAGTACAACTGTTATTTTCATATAAAATTGAACATGACTTTTGAAATAAAAATAAGATTTTCAAAATACAATGTGCACTAACTATAATTGTTACAGCATTGCTGACGGCTGGGTTTGGACTGGGATTGATTTCTTCTGTTGTCCGGATGGAACTCGCGATATCCACGGAAATCTCAATGGAAATTGAAAACAGAACAGCAAACATAACGAATTCAAACACGGAAGATGAAACTGAAGAGGAATTAAAGACAGATGACCAATTACCAAAGACTAATTCAACAGATGCATCGAAAACAACAACAACAACGATAGCAACTAACACAACGACGACAACAACAACGATAGCACCTAACACAACGACGACAACAACAACGATAGCACCTAACACAACGACGACAACAACAACGATAGCACCTAACACAACGACGACAACAACAACAACAACGATAAAACCGACAACACCTACAACAACAAAAAAGTCAGTAACATCGAGACCTGCTTCAACAATACCAATTTCAGCAACTAAATCAACAACCTCAAATCTTGACATCTCCAAACCAGGAGAAAAAGAGCAGAAACCGTGTACCAACACGCTCCCGTTACTGTCGCCGGAACAAATGCATAAAGTAAGGATGGTCTTCTTCGGACTGCCGATTGGTTTAGCTGTTGTTCTGCTTGGTATACTGGCCGCTGTCCTTCTTTATGTGACAAGAAAACAACTGAAGAAATGTCGAGGTACATAATACTAAAACAAAATCAGCATGTCCTTCTTATAAAGAGAAATAGAAATGGCAGTCTTATCCTGCATTTTACAGTTTTTACAATGTTAATTTTTTTTTAAATTTTTAAATTAATTAAGAACTCTTTTGGTGATGAATATGGTTTGTTATCGCTAAAAAAAAATCAATATTAACCGATGTACTTAAAATCAGTATGAAAATAGTACATTAAACGAGGGTTGTCCGGTTAAATCGGGGACAAGTTGCCTAGTTTGAAAAATAATCTTCAATGTGTTCTAAAATTTTCACTACTCTTTAGTATATTTAGGACCTACTCTGTGCACATTCAAGCATAACAAATTCTTTATTTTTGTCTGTATTTTATAAATATGAAAAAAAAGATGCACTTAAATACCGGTGTGATAAATAAACATTTGCCTAAAAATTAGCTTAGTGCGCCCATTATTTTTCGAGAAAAACGCTTTGTCCACGATTTTTCCTGACAACCCTCGTATACAAATACACTATTAAATAGACAAAGGTATTTCTTATCGAAATAAAGTAAACTACTTCATTTTAGTTCCTATACTATTTCATGTTTAATGCAATGGAAACTTCTTTACTATAGCTACTCCAAAACTTCAAAAATTCAGTGGTAAAATTAGTTGTTGTGAGAACTAGAAGGCAGGAAAACAAATACGTACTGTAGTATACGAGTAACATAATTCATTGCATCAAATCGTGCATTTTCATGAAGAGTTCTACTTTTCTAAAATAGTCCTTCGTAATGGCTGTGTAAGTTTCTGCTCGTTTGTAAACATCGTTTGTGTGTTATGTAATATACAATGTAAGTAATTCCTTCCTGAATTATCGCCTTCTGTCCATGTATGGGGAGGTGTATGTTTTCCATTGAAAACATGGAAATAATGTTAATGAAGGTCAATGTACTAATATTTTTTATTTTAAAAAAGTGATATATATCCTTTGCATTAAAACAATTTTTTACTTTAACTTTCATCAAATACTATCCATAAACCAATCTATGGCCTAACATTTTAGTGTCAAATTATTTCTCAAGTTTGCATTATTTAATTTGTTGTCTATTTTTAAAACGGGAAGTCTTATTTACCTCCTAAATTGTAGAGTTACCTAGTATCGCGCTATAGGAAAACATGAAATTTACACAACTTCAATTTTTATTTTTATATTTATAATTCTACATTAAAAATAAACATTCATACAAACTAAAGACTTTCGAAACATGAACTTTATTCTGGCTTTTACTAGGTTATAAAATCAATGATCTAAATATGATATTTTATAAACGGTAATGGAAATCTGTAAAATTACGTTTTATTTGAATAAAAAAATTACTGACACATGTTCCATACTTTTTAATCGTCACAAAAGTTTACATTCGGACGACAAGCAGATATATTTAAACAGACAGGATATGAGCTATGTATCTGAATTTTTGGAATATTCCGCGATACAATGGAACCGGCGATATAATGAGAAGCGAGTACATTAAAAATTCTCTTGAAAAACATTTTTTAAACAGACTACAAGATGAGGGAACATAGACCTTTCAATATACGGTAATTTAGTCGAAAACCAGTCCCCAATCAATTTGAAAATTTTCAATGTGTTATATATTTCATAATTCCTGTTTGTAGGAATAAATTCATACTTTCTAGATGAAGAGACTGGAGCTGCCATAGAGGACAAGGAAGGCAAACCGGTTAAAGATGGCGAAGAATCTAAAACAAAAGAATCCCAGGATGAAAACGAAGATCAAAAAGAAAAGAAGGAGAAAGATTCTGACCAAAAGGCTGAAGAAAACACGGGAGAAAATTCTGAGTCGAAGACGGAAAATGATGCTAATCAGACGAAACAAGAAAAGACTGAAGAAAATCCAAATCAAACATCAGAGCAAAAGATAGAAACAACAGTGCAGAAAGACAAAGAAATTGAACAAACTCCCCAAACCCAAGAAGAAAACAAACCTGCAGCTCTCTCAGTTGAATCTGGCACTGCATCAGAACAAAATGCAGCTTCAAAAGCAACAGAACAAGCGAAGACCGAAAAGGATACTACGGAAGACAAGAGCAAAGAAATGACGGAAAAGAAAGACACGAATGTTGAAAAGACTGAGAAAGAGGCTGGAGCAGACGGAAGTACGAAAACTGAAGATGGGGCTGATGCATTTCAGACGTCTATTGATATCCTGTCGTCATTCATTAAAGAAACTGAGAATCTCTGCGAAGATAAAAAAGATGAAAATGAGAAGAAAGATGAAGAAAATAAAAAGAAAGAAGTCACTGAATCAGCCCCTGGTGACACTAAGAACTTGACAGGAAGTAAAGATCAAAACATGGGTGAGTGGTCTGATTCCGTCAAATTGACAAATGACCAATCAAAACCAACCACTGAAAAATCGGAAGTTAAATCCGAAACAATGTCTGACAGCAGTCCTAAGACAGAAAGCAAAGAAGATACAGAAACAAACCAGAAAGGTTCCTTGCAATCTGAAAATGGTGATTGTAATTCGGAGAAGAAAATTGAAGAGCAAGCGGTATGCGATAAAAACCAAAAACCATTAGAAGCTGAAGACTCCGCTGACAAGCCGGACCCGCCCCTCCCACCGCCACCGGAACAAGATACGACCGAGAATTTATCAGGGGAACAGCCCGATCCCGATCTGCCCCTACCCCCAGAGGTATCCAAAGATGCTCAAGGCTCCTCCGCAGAATCTAATGAAGACGAGTCCGAATGATTTCAAGCTTTGTAGTTCACGAATACTGTTAGGTTCAGACAATTTAAAATAAGTCAAGGGTCATACTAGGTTCAAACTATTTAAAATAAGTCAAAGGACATACGTTTGAGTATATACCATCTTCGTAAGCGAATGGACTCTGATCCTAAAAAGAGGGGTGATGCGGATTATAAACTATATTGGCTAGCGAATATGTTTATTTATAGTTATCAGCAATGTTGATGCAACCTTAAATGTATGGAATTTTGCTTATTAACAATTTACCAATATTTTTTATATGTATCAATTATAGTTTATTGAAGACATTTACTTATTCTTTAAATATTCGCAATAATAACCAATGCTCCTTGAGTTTAAAATAGTACGTTCAATCGTTAGATAAACATTCGCTCATTTTCATCATAATGCTGTACCACTTTACTTCATTATTTGATGCTTTTAATTATAATGTGACTTGAAATTAGTATAATCTTCTACTATCTGTCAATAGTTTTACAACTACCATAGCCAATTTATTCGAAGGATATATATATATATATAGAGAGAGAGAGAGAGAGAGAGAGAGAGAGAGAGAGAGAGAGAGAGAGAGAGAGAGAGAGAGATATATATATATATATATATAAATAAATCAATTAACTCAATGTTTTCTTTGTGCTTCACTTGTTAATACACTGCTAACTAAGTAGGCTGGAGGGTCATCAAATTAACCACAAAATATAACATTTTTTTCAGATATGATAACTTATTAAGCTGTCAACAATCATTTGGCAAATAAATAAATAAATAAATAAATAAAATGAAATAAAAAAACAAAAACAAAAAAAACTTTCATAAATTCTTTTAGTTTTAGAATTTGATCATTTTTGATTTTTTTTTTTGTATATATTTAAATAGAGCTCTTCAGAGGAGAACAATAGTCCTATAGTCTAAAAATGGTCACAACAACCCAACCCTCTAAATAATGCAGTATTTTACATTGAACTCTCTTTCCATTAACTAATACTACCTAGGCATTAGTTCTATAATTAAACCACTTTCTGTGTAACCTAAATAAGAAGTTTTGTCTGTACAATTGTTCAGTACATGTTTTTAATTACATGTTTTAATTTTTTTCAACCCTTTGTATATTTGAAGGCATGTAATCTAAACAAATTTTAGAATTTTTGAAACGTGTATATGTACATTAGCATCAAAATAGCTTTCAACTAGAAATTTTGTTATCATATTATAAAGAAGAACAATGTTTTACATCGGAAAATATAGGAGAAAATCTTTAAAATCCGATTTAAAAAAATGTACATGTAGCGTTGCAATTTGTTGCAATGATACGTCAGCATCCGTAAATCGTGTAAATTCAAGATTTGTGAAGTTATTAAAGTCGGATTATCACAAGATTAATCAATGAAACTTTCGCGAGGATAACTAAAAAACCTTTTTAAAAATGTAAGCTGTTAATTTGAAAGCAAATTCATTGTTCCCTCCATGTTCCATAAGCCACGGCGAACGCTGGACAGCAATGAGCCCCATGGGCTTTGAGGACAAGATTTTTTTTAAAGATTTAGATAAATCATCATTAATATTTATCTCTCGACTTAGGGTTAATAAGTAAAGCTGAAAGCAGATTATTCCTATCAAACAACCATAAACGTTGTTTATATTTTCGATGGTCTCGTTCCTGCTGCAATTCGAGACTGGGTCCTAATTAGCGAGAAAACGTAGCGATGTCAAGATGCTTGCTACTTAAAGGCTGAATCCCCATCTCAATCCATGGTCCTCTAATTGCTTACTTCCGGTTGTGTACTTAGGTATGACCGTACTTTGATGTCTTTTTTACTGAAGTTGAAATCTGCGGTATAAATATGAAAATCCCGTACATTGGAATTATTCTAACTTTTTACCTTGTAACCGAAATTTCGGAAGGAGGTAAGTTTATAATTTACCCTTCTTTGTATGGAAGTATGTTCCTTGATTTGATAGCTTTAACATAAATTTGTCCTCAACTGACTTTCTTTAAAGAATCCCTGGTGGTTACAGATAGGAAAATGTTGTCTTATCATTTTTGTCAACGCAATTTTAACTTTTTCAAAAATTTGAAATTCAGTTGAGAATTTCAATCTAGACCTTTAACTTACTTTTCTTAAAATATGTCAATATTTTTAATCCAGGGCAACAAACTTACTTATCTGTATAAAAATATTTTGATTTTTAAACTAAGTTCAGTAAAATTTTCAGTAAAAAGTATTGATAATAATTTTTAGACATAGAAATTATCTTTCAAAACCATATACATACAATAAAAAAAATATGTCCGGATCTTATAGTACAACTCTTTATTTCACAGCAGGACGGTATAATTGCAAAACGCCAAAACTTGAAAATGGTTCAGCTAGGATACGAAGTAAAGGTCGCCTTGTTAGATATCGCTGTAAGAGACGGTACAAACTTTTTGGGGCGAAAGTGGCAGTCTGCAGAAACGAAGAATGGAATTTCCCCACGCCAGTCTGCGTTGGTATGTTTGTTTTCAATGCTGAATGTTTTTGAACTCTTCTATTATATTTTTCTGTTGTACAATATTATTTCATCTTGATTTATTTTTAGCAAATGGTAGAAAATGTCCAAAATTAAAGAAAACTAAAGATATGATAATAGAATCAAAGCTAAGGAATGGACTTTTGAAGTATTCCTGCAAGTCTGGCTTGACATTAATTGGAAACAGTACTTTGTATTGTGACGGGTCTAAGTGGAGCAGTGAAGTACCACAATGCATATGTAAGTCACCAATACTTACTAGTATATTACATTCAGGAAATGGAAAATTAATATTATTAAGAAATTTAATTGTGCGCGCTTCTTGCGTGTTAATTTCTGATTCAAACAGACCCATGGCCACTGTATTAAAAAAAATTGGGGAACCTCATCCAAAAATTTTAAGTACTCCACCCGCCAGAAAGAGTAGACTAGCTGTCAAAACTTAAAAATCTTATTTCGTGGGCGGTGAGGAGGGAAGGGATATGCGTGATCTTTCTCTTGGTCCTTGGTAAATACATGTATTATATTTTTCAAATCAATCGACTTCGTAGATGTGGAACCAAAGAAGTCTTGTGATTTTGAGACGGCTGATTTGTGTGATTGGGAACAGAATGATTCGGACACTCCATATTTTGACTGGACACGAACTACAGCTGCTCAGATAAGACACTCTACTGGGACCGGACCCAGCTCAGATCATACGTACCCAGACAAAGAAACAGGTCTGATTGAATGATTAAACCCAGACAAAGACACAGGTCTGACTTTATGATTAAACCCAGACAAAGACACAGGTCTGAATTTATAATTAAAACCAGGCGAAAAAAAATTCGACAGTTAAATTATGCCCATAAAACTGATTACAATAAACATATCGGTAATTTCAGGAAACTATTCTTTAAGTAATAAGAACCTCTTTGTAATACCGCATAATTTCTTTGAATAAAGCGTTTATTCATTTAAAACATTGAAAATATACAATACATGCTAAAAATTAGAAAAAACAAGACGTGTTTGTGAAACGCTATGCGCCCGGCGGCACAAAGTTCCAAAAAAGCTATTTTTAGCATATAGTCAGTGTCAAGGTCACAAGGTCATTGACCTTGGTATCACTTGAAAGAACTTGATTACCGGTAGTGGAGTATGCATACCTAATATGAAGTCCCTACCTCTCATGGTCCAAAAGTAATGGTTAAGGTTCAAAAAATGTATTTTTAGCATATAGGTCACAGCCAAGGTCACAAGGTCAATGACTTTGGTGTCATTTGAAAGAGATTAATGATTGAAGTAAGCAAACCAAATATGAAGTCTTTATCTTTCATGGTTCAAAAGTTACAGCGAAGGTTAAAGTTTGAAGACAAAAAAAGAGAAATTTTTAGCATATAGGTCACAGTCAAGGTCACAAGGTCACTGAACTTGGTGTCATTTGAAAGAGCTTCATTATTGAAGTATGCATACTGAATATGAAGTCTCTATCTTTTATAGTTCAAAAGTTACGGCGAAGGTTAAAGTTTGCAGAAAAAGCTATTTTTAGCATATAGGTCACAGTCAAGGTCACAAGGTCATTGCCTTTGGTGTCATTTGAAAGAGCTTCATTAGTGGAGTATGCATACCAGATATGAAGTCTCTATCTTTCATGGTTCAAAAGTTATGGCGAAGGTTAAAGTTTGCAGACAAACAGACAGACAGACAGACAGACTGGATAAAACAATATACGCCCCGGATCTGTCGATCCAGGCGCATAAAAATAATTCACGAAACGAAACAAACAATCCCTGGACACACGATATTTGGATTTGTTTAAGGTGAGGAGACTGGTCCCCATGCATCTCTGATAAAAATCTTATTTTCCGATCCGCTTTCAAGGGGTTTAAACATCTCCTAGTATGGATACTCTGGAGCCACGTTGGTTATTGGAATGTATGGCACGCCAAATTCACAAAAATGAGATAAACCTAGTTTCACATTTGATAAACTAGGTTTATCGACTGTAAACTATAGTTTACAAACCGTAAACTATAGTTAACGATTCGTTAAGTATAGTTTTTATCTATAAAACTATATTTAACGGTTGTTAACTATAGTTTACGAATGATAATCTAAGTTTATCTGTCTGTAATAAGCGTTAACAATAGATTTTGTTGATAAACATAGATTCACGTTTGTAAACTATAGTTAACGATCGTAAACTGTAGTTAAGAGTTGTTAATCATAGTTTCACAAATCGTGAAACTATATTTATCAGATCGTTAACTATAGTTAACGGTTTGTAAACTATAGTTTACAAATCTTGAAACTGTATTTATCAGATAATCTATGTTTTGCAATCGCAAATGATTGTTTTCAGTGTTAAGTATAGTTTACGGTTGTGAAACATAGATTATCGGTTAACTATAGTTTACAGATGTAAAATATAGATTAACGTCGTTAACTATAGTTTACAGTCCGTAAACTATAGTTTACAACCGATAAACCTAGTTTATCGACTGTGAAACTATGTTTTGCTCATTTTTGTGAATTTGGCGTGCCATAGGAATGCGATACCCACGGTATGCACAAAATAAATGGGTGTGTGTGTGTGTAAAGGATTAATTCTAAAAAGCCCAAGTGAGCTATTCAAACGGATTTCTCAATACTATAGTACATATACAAATAATTTTTTGAGACATCAAATTAATTTGTAATTTTGTTTGTAGGTCACTATCTATTTATGGAGGCCTCTAGGCCTAGAAGGCCGGGGGATTACACTACGCTGTTGTCACCCTACTACAATCCGGTGGAAGCTGGTCTCTGCTTTGAATTCTGGTATCACATGCTTGGACGAGACAGAGAAGGGGGTAAATACGTACATTGTATTCAGTTTCTAAAAAAAAGTTGCATTTCCAGAATACATATATATTTTTTAATCCAAAATTTCTAAATATTCAATTTACACAATTTATAAGTATTCTATACTAATTCTGAATTTGCTGGTGGATATAGATTTTTTAAAGTATATTCAAAATAATGTTTGTATGATATAAAATGAATTTCTTTAATAGTATCTTAAATTTTTAAATCGCAGATATTTGAATTAAATGTATACTTTTTTCCAGATGTAGGCTCATTGAAAGTTGGAATAAAAGATGCTGATGCCAACTCTTCTAATCTAGACCCCGTGTGGAGTATGTCTGGTAACCAAGGCGATACCTGGCACAAAGGGTCTCTAGAAATCGGAGCAAGGACCTCCCGCTTCCAGGTTTTACCCCCTCCCTTTTTTCATTAATTTTATTTCTAAAGTAAATAGTATTTTTAATGAAAAAAATAACAATAAAGCAGTTTCATTTGCGGTATTAATTTTCTGTAGATTATAATTACCGGAACTCGTGGCGATGACCATCGCGGAGACATTGCAATCGATGACGTTTCCATCACCAACTGCACACATGGTAAACAAAACACGTATTCTTTTGCCTGCATTTCATTATTGTTTACTGCACATTTATTTTACTACTAATAACCTTAAAAGCATTAAACTTCAAACATAAAGAGGGTGTTGGTTTAAACTTCATGTAAGAAGTCAAGCAATTAAAAAAAAATATTGGGTTGGTGGCTGGAAGCTACATTTGTCTAAAATGGTAAGTTGCATTGGTCCCAAGAGAAAGCATCCGGTAAGGCCAGCAGCATTAATCTAACACAGAGTAAAGTTAGCGGCATTCAGCGGCAATTATCTAACATAGAGCTTCTGAAAAAATCAGCTGCATTGTGCGGCATTTATCTTACATAGCGCTTCTGAAAAAATCAGCTGCAATTGCGCGGCATTTATCTAACACAGAGCTTCTGATAGTCAGCAGCATTGCACGGCGTTTGTCTAACACAGAGCTTCCGATAAAGTCAGCAGCATTGAGCGGCATTTGAACGATACAGCACTTCTGATAAAATCAGATGCATTAAGCGGCACTGTCCAGCACGGAGTTTTTGATGAAATGAACGTCATTGAGCATTGTCCAACACAGAACTTCTTGAAAAAAAAATTAGCTTTATTGTGAGGTATTTGTTAAAGATAGTACTTCCGCTAAAGTCAGTGGCATTGCGCGGAATTAGTCTAACAGAGGCTGAAGTCGCATTGAGCGGCATTTGTCTAACAGAGCAATGGCATTGAGCGGCATTTGTCTAACAGCGACAGCTGAAGTCGGTAGCATTGCGCGGAATTAGTCTAACAGAGCGACGGCTTGTGTAACAAGCATTGAGCGGCATTTGTGTAACAGAGCAATGGCATTGAGCGGCATTTACCTAACAGCGACGGCTGAAGTCGGTGGCATTGACCGGCATTTGTCTAACAGCGACAACTGAAGTCGGTAGCATTGAGCGGCATTTGTCTAACAGAGCAATGGCATTGAGCGGCATTTACCTAACAGAGCGACGGCTGAAGTCGGTGGCATTGAGCTGCATTTGTGTAACAGAGGGACGGCTGAAATCGGTGGTTTTGAGCTGCATTTGTCAAACAGCGCGACGGCTGAAGTCGGTGACATAGTGCGGCATTTGTTCTGGAAAAGCCATCGGCATTGAGTGGTATTTTTCCGACTTGGAGCTTCTGACGAAGTCAACGGCATTTGTCAAAGATAGTGCATCTGGTAATGTCATTGGTCTGGAGCAGCTTTGTTCACGAGAAAAAGCTTCTGGTAAAATCAGCGACATTGAGCGGCATTTGTCCAAGATAAAGGTAAAGTATTAGTTGCATTGTTTTAATACATTTCATAAAAAGTTAACTTTTATAATAATTTTTAATTCCAATTTTTACAATAAAAATTCTTTCGCCTGAAGAAGATGTATAGCATTACTCAAAAATAAATGCCGGTCCGTTTGTTTAGACCAAGGATTGAAGTACATATATCTTAAATTTTTATTACATTTTATCCACAGATCTTTTCCATTCGATGTATGAAAGGTACTGAAAAGATATTTGATTTTTATTTAATGGCAAGGACTTGATTATGAAGTAAGATTTTTGTTTTCCCCTATCTTCAATTATATTTTAATTATAAAAATACAATCATATATTAAAGTTTAAATTATACAGGTGATCGTCTGTACTTTGGTAACATCTTTTAAAATACTAATTATATAAATATCATAGCCCTGGTCAGAAAGCATATCACTGATTCTCAAATTATAGTCTCAATTCGCTTTAAATAATGTACCGTGTTTTAAGTAATATAATATTTCTTATAAATTTTATTTGCTGCCAGTCATATGAACCATTGTTGGTTGTTGATTAAAATACAACAATTGTTTGTTGTAACTTGAATGATTGTCTTAGGCGAAAATCGCATTTTATAGCAGAAATCGATATTTACGTTACTGTCGCCGATCATAGTTTAGTTTTTATTTTAAACCAAAAAGAAGTTTTTAATCATTACATATCTTTTTCTTAGTAAGATTGTCCTACAATTGAGTTATATTTTCTGAACATCACACCCTTCACACATATGCGTGGCACAAATTTATAAAAATTTTAAAATATTTATCAAATTTTGATGTCACCGCAAAATTATTACTTTTCTATTTGGAAATTCAAAAGGACTGGAAGGATTGCTGAACTGACTCAATAAGATTAAGTCGTAACTTTTTAACATCATGAACACCTGTTCCATTGCATGGAATGGTAAAAAAGACACTGTTTATCTGTATTTATAAAATATAGCCCCCCTTTTCTTATGAGTCTAATGGTTAAAAAATTCATCGATATTTACGTGTTAGTACTTATTCACAAATTGAGTAAGAGAACCACACTGTTTCCTATGGGTCAAATTGCTATACACTCAAGCACTAGAATATGCCTTTAATTAACAGTTGAATAATTAAACAACAGCATTAAAAGTTATGATAAATCTCAGAAAGATATTTACGTTACCGATATTTACGTTACCATATTTACGTTACCATGTTTTAAAGTAAATTAGAATTAAATTCTAAAGCTGTTTGAACAGATTTGCGAGTGAATCTTAATGATTTAAAAACTAAAAACATGAAGAAATAAACTGTTTCTTTAAATGACATTTTTTTTCTGTAACAAGAGTTCAGAAATGCAAATGGAAGTGCACATGCAAAGTTGAACATATTTTACACATTATCTTGTGCTTCCGTGTGATTTGAAAATTGAATTGACATAATATTATTAACAAGTAGAATTGTGGTTTAATAATCGAATGTTTCCATTTTGAGCAATTGGTTAATATTGCATAGTTTTATGTGTAATGCACGTTATCATTCGGAACGTAAATCTGAAACAAAACTTACTTAAAGTTTGTATTTTGTTGTTTGTTTGAACTGATAGTGTCTCGTCCACTTAAAAAACGTTATATACACCTAAATTGTATACCAAGCTAAACATTTTGAAGAAGAATATATTATTTTTCGTAGAAAATATAATTCAAGAAAATAACCGCTGCGCTGTATGTAGGGGGGGGGGGGGTATTCCACATCGGGTTAAAGAAAAAAGACGGGTTTTGGGCGTCAAGAAACTGGTCGAAATTGAACCCATTTCCATTTTTGTTGCTTTGCAAGAAATACATGTGCACCTAATTTTTCCCATTTAAATTGTTGCTCAGACATAGAACTTAGAACGAATGCGTCTATGCTTTAATGTACTGAGGATTCAATTTACGTTATATTAATGTAGAATGTACGTATATTGCTCTATAGAGCACATATAATATGCAACTGTAATTGTTAACAAACCTTTTTAAGGGTGGTGGGGGTAACTTTGTTTTGTTTTTGAGATTTGACGATAAAGTTTTCACAAGCAATTAAGCATTTGAAATAATCAACAGATTAAATGGTGGAAGGGGGGATGGTCATAAACTAAATGAATCCTCTATAGATAAGTCATAACTTGAATTTTCAGTGCAACCCTTTGTCAAGAACACGGATAAAAAAATTCATAAAATTCAACAATTTGTAATAATATATTCACTTTTCCCCGAAATCAATATACTTTTATTTTTGTATGATATCTATGTGCGATATTTACGTGATATTTAGCAAACACTTCGTAATCAGGTAATGGCAAAATATTTTTACCTTCTGATATTTTAAATAATGTGCGTTTCTCTGAACAGATTAATAAAGAATCAAATAATGAAGCATTTTAGGGAATGTTGTCATTATTAGGCTTATCGTCAGATTTGATAAAAACTTTTTAAAATGAAAAGAAAATAATTTCATTAAATGAAAATTATGCCAGTTTTGTTTATACTAATAATTGAATCAAAGATTTCACACGCTTTTACAAATGTGCTTAAACGGTTTCATACATGTTTATAGTTAACAAAATTTGATGTGTATTATCTTAATTTTGTATTTTTCAAAAAAATTCTTTCGTTTCCACATATGGCTTTTCAACATCACGTAAATATCTTGGTGTAAAATTAGCCCTACAACCGCATTCATTTCGAAGGAGGTCAACAAAACACAGCATGAAGTATGTAAATCAAATTGTGATTTTTAATAACTATACACCTTCATGTTTCAAATGACATACAAAAGTGTTAGTTTCAGTTCACAAAATTTTTTGACTTTTCCCAAAGTCGATTTGGCACTATAAATTGAGAATGCGTGATATAGATATGCTAATTAAACATTGTAGGAATAGGAGTCGGATACATACTTATAGCCAATTTGATTATAATATAATCATGGTATTATTATGCTTTCTGCGAAAGTTAACAAAAGGAGGAAAACTCCTTTTTGTATATTAACCATACATGTATGAAGAAAAACATAATACTGTACAAGTTAACAATATGAAGGAAACTTCTTACCTTGTATAATTTCATTACTTTGTATAACTGTGCCGCTGAATGCCCCTGACTTGACCAGAAGCACTATGCTTGACAAATGCCGCTCAATGCCAATGACTTCACCATAGCTGTTTTGGTAAAATGCCACTCAATGCCGCTGACAAATGCAGGCCAATCCCGTTGACTTTACCAAAAGCACTCCTTTGACAAATGCTGCTGCCTTTACCATAAGCACTATCATCGCTCAATGTCGCTGGCTTTATCAGCTCTGTGTTGGACAAATGCCTTTCAATGTCACTCAGTGCCACTGGCTTACAAGAGTTTAAGCTCTCTCTTGTACAAATTCTGCCCAATGTTGTTGACTTGACCAGACTCTGTCTCTTGTACAATTATCACTCAATGCTGCTAGCTTTACCAGAAGCTGTCTCTTGAACACATTTCGTTCAATGCTGCTGACTTAATCAGAATCTCTCTCTATTGTACAAATTCTAGGGCTGAAACGATTCACCGAAATATCGATATTGTTCGATATAATTGCTCGGTTCAATGTTCGATTCACCATTTCGATTTTCGGTTCGATACGTTTTTTATAATCGGGTTTGGTTAACTCTTTAAAATAGATCGGGTTCGACCTTATTTTATTAGTATGACACACACAAAGGACGGTAAAGTTTCAGAGCAGGCTGTTACTGCTATGAATGATACGAATAAAGTGCTCTTAATCAACGGAACCACAAGTAGTCAGAGATGTGCAATTAACAAATTTGGAAATTCGGGCTAGAAAAAATTATAACTTGGCATGCAATACATGAAAAATACAACCGGTATTTTCACTCATTTTTTGCTATCAAATTCCCAACCAGTGAATATTTTCCAGGCAGCATGCTTCTACCGTCAATAAATCTCAATAATTTTCTCCATTTTGCAGTACTATCTGACTTATTTACTTCCAAAAACGATCGTTTTTTCCTAATCCGAATTTCCTCCATTCCTCCGTTTATTGTAAATAAAGGCACATATCTTATTGAATTATTTACGATCACCCAATGAACTGAAAGATCAGTGTTTTGTGACTCACATAAAATACATTTCTAGTGTATTTAATAATTTAATATGAAAACAAAAGGAATTTATTTTCATTCTAAATTAGCTAGTGCAAATAATCAGAAACGGAAAGATCATCAGATAATTTTTTAAAAATTCATTTATTTTTCTTTCATAATCATTAATTTTATAAGATTTAATTTTAATAGTGAGAATTAAACTTTATTTTGAAAAAAGAATGACCTTATATAGTACCCTGACTTTTTCTACGATTAATTTTTTTCAACATTAGTTTTATTTCAATTTTTGTCCCTATATTTGGGCTAGTAACTTCTTACTTGGGGCTAGTAACTGTAATGCTGCCCATGGGCTAGTACTTAAATATTATATTGCATACCCCTGGTAGTATTTCTCTCTATTGTATCACCACCTTTTACTTTTTTTTGAAATCTGAATATGTTTTCTTTAACCTTATGAATAGTTTCTTTCTTAAATTGTATCGTATTGAAAAAATTGAATTGTGACACAAGTATTGCAATACGTATCGTATCATGGAGGGGGCGTATCGTTTCAGCCCTAACAAATTCCAGCCAATGCTGCTTACTTTACCAGAAACTCTGTCTTCGATAAATGCCACTCAATGTTGCTGACTTTACCAGAAACTCTGTTATGCTCTAATGCTTTTCAATGCTACTTAATTTACCATGCAGAAACACTGTGTTGGACAAATACCAAGCACCGACTCTTAGAAAATGCCTTTTAATTCATCTTATCCAAGATTTTTAGATGGATTGTTGTGTATTTCTTGGTATTCATAGTTTGCTAAACACATATAGTAATTTATCGTGACTTCTTAAGGAATAGCCGAGGTAGTTATTAATTACTTGATAATATTATACATTTATTGACTACGTTAAAGGACAACGTGCGTTTTGTCGGACCCAAGAACCAAAACTGTCTGCCTGAGGCGGTTAGGCCGAAGGCAGACAGTTTGGTTCGAGGGTCCGCGTTTTGCCCGAGAACTTAGTCAATAAATGTTTTGTTATACCTTTCTTTTTTATTTTTTGGACATACATGTGTGTTTTACTGTCTTCCGTGACCTCAGGTCCGTCACTTTTGAACACTAAAGAATGAAAATGAAATTAAATTCCGCCCATTCTGTGACGTAAGCGGTTTAACATCTCATCGACCGGTCCAACATCTCACTCAGCGGTCCAACATCGACTTTTTTATGCCCGTTCAGCAAAACAAATGTTCGACTTTTTTCGTATAGATTTGTTAAGGAACAAATTTTTAAAGGTATAAAAATAATATTATGTCGGCAAGTAATATGCCATTTTAAGACAAAATACTTATTTTATGTTTGGGCAATACTAGTACATTTACAGAAAAGAATTAATTTTTTTGTCCTCGTAATTGACGAAAAGGTTTTTTGTATGATATCTGAAGGTGCCATATGCATGTGGCCTTGATGTCACTATCTAATATATGGATAGATTTCAAAGTATTATACTTTCAAGTAAATTAGTTGAATCTAATTCGTAGAGAAACATATGTTTAAAAACACCATTACCTGCTAAATAATGAAGCCATACCCTTGAGCATAGCAACAGTCAACATTGCTTGACGACGGATGATATTCCAAAAAATGTTGACTGCACAGAATTTATGCGCGCAAGATTCACTGTAATATGTATTTGTATAAAAAATTCAGTATAATATAATAAATACCATGTAGTTAAGTGTAACATTATATAAATGGTGCCTGTTTTGGAGGGTAACATTTGAAATTGACACCCCAAGGAAAACCATTGTCAACCGACGCGTCAGCGGAGGTTGACAATGGTTTTCCGAGGGGTGTCAATTTCAAATGTTACCCTCCAAAACAGGCACCATTTATTTTATTATACTGAATGTCTTATTGATTAAGCGTCGATCGTCTTTACGTTCATGTATTAGGAAGATTTCACACTCACCGGTTCACTAATCTCCTTATTGTTTGTTTGATACTCGAATTAGAGTCATTTATCATATTTAAAGCTTCGTTATTTCTGGCTCGCAAGCATGTTTCCTACACTCGCAAAATTCAAGTATTTATCGGATATAATAATTCCGGTTCTTTCAAACGCGCAACTGATACCATGTATTACCGTTGTGTTACCCGTTGTCACGTGTGTTGCTAACATAATAAATTGTTAACTTCTAAACCAATCAGATTTTAGTATTTAACATGAAAGTATAATAATAAATGTTTTCACCCAAGAAAACCATTGTCAACCTCGGCTGCGCACGGTTGACAGTGGTTATCTTGAGTGAAAACATTTAATGTTACACTCAACTACATGCAATATTTATGTAATGTCACTACCTAATACCGGATGTATGGATATATCTTATATTTTTTTCGGATTTGTGAAGAAATACATTAAAGTCCTGTCCAGACTTAATTTTTTAATTAAAAAGCATTAAAATACTTCTTGACAAGAGATGTTGGGCAAGTTCAGAGTCATTAGTAGCAATTAAAAAGGGTACTTTGTTCCAAAGAAACTCGTTAAGCTTTGACTGAATGCAAATGTTGTTTACAAGCTGAAAATATATATATGGCCAGAGGTTATTATTACTTCAAAGTAAAGTTTTTTGTTTGCAATTATCTGTGTTTATTTACATTATTTATTACGTTCAAATCAGTTTATCAGCATATATTTTAATTTGCTCTAATTATATTTGATATCCCAGATTCAACTACAACTGAATTAACTGCAACTTCAACTTCTTATATCGATACGACTCTAGCATCCCAAAACGTTACAACAAATAAAGCTCAACAACCAATAAGCGTAACACAAGAGACCAGTTCAGTACAAGCAACAGATAAAACACATGACGCAAATACAGTGGAAACTACAACAGATATGACTTCAACGAAGTTAACAATACGTCATACAACTAAGAGTCACGTGACTTCTAATGTGGCTAGTGTGACAAAAGAACCTGACATTAATACGAGTATCAAGTCAGATCAAACAAACATAACTAAAGATATAACAGTTATCCCTGAAGATGGGACATCTATTTCAGTCACAGCAGAAACTAAAACTATTAATATGAAGACGTCAGAGCCGGGTATCAAACCAATAACCAATGTAGAAACATCGACCGCAAAATCATTCGTAACCACAGAGTATAAAACAAAACCAGCAGATAAGCAATCAAAAGCACAACAAATCACTCTTACCACTACAGGATATCAAACAAAAGTACAAACTACCAACGGCTCAAGAAATCCAACAACCAACACCGTCTCCACATCAACCTTAAGCTCTGCTAAGAAACCAACAAAAACCAGGACAAGTACAATCAAGTCAACTGCTACTGCTACGTCATCGGCATCCTTTACTGAAAAGCCAACAAAAATCTCAACACTGAAATCAGATACAACTAGCGTTACATCAGCATCGAGATCAACCACAAAATCAGCAAAAACAAATACAACAACACCGCGTACTACCAAACAATTAACTACTACATCCACCTTAACATCGCAGTCAAGAACAACTACAAAGCCTACAGAAAAGACGAAAACAACAAAAAAATTAAGAACAACAACCACCACGTTACTGGTAAGATCGACAACAAAACCGACAAAAATTTCGACAACTTTACGAGCGTCTACCAAAAAATCAACCACAACTGCTGCCACATCTCCACCCAGCTCAACCAAACAATCAGTGTCTACGACAGCGTTTAGATCAACAAGACTGACCACCACTCAAATGATAATGACCAGACCAACAACAGAATCTTCAACAAGAAAAGCGACAACAAAAACACGTTTTAAAACAACTAAACCCGCTCTGCAAACTACGTCAACCACAATAACAGCCCGGCCTTCTGCTCCTAGTACAAAGTCCTATCAAACAACATTACGAAATTTTGATTTTTATAATAATACCATAAATGAAGACGTATATGTAATTACAACACTTTCGACAAATGACACAGATATTCCTAATATAATAGTAGTCGGACGACAATCCGCCTCTGATGATCCGCCCGTCCGTACTCTTTTGATCGGACTAGCAGCAGGGGTGGCCGTAGGACTTGTGATTGTTGTTGTAGGGTGTTATCTGTGGATTCGAAGGAAGCGCAGGAAGGATCTAGAATGTGATGAAATGATGCCCATCACAGGAACAGGCTCTCAAGAATGGTAAATGATCTCAATTTTAATAAACTGGAAAGAAACTGACCCCAATAGATTTTTTTTTTCAATTTAACTAAAGGAAACGGTTTATTAATTTTTTTCTCAATTCTTAATTCTGGAGGCGTTTAACATCGACCAAGGAAAGTGCGCTGTGTGTTAATTTCAACAATGATCTGATTTTTTAACATTCGACGTGTGATTTTCAAAGTAATGTTCAAGTACTAGTACTTAGACTTATTGTGTTAATGTAAAATAGATGGCGTAAAACATACGTTTTTCTTTCAATGGATAATATTAAATGTTGTTCTTTTAACTTTCTTCATTTTGAATGATATACATGTATAACTAAATGTGTTTATTTGCTGTAGATAAATTATGATTTAATGATTTATTGTGGTTTTCTTCTTTAAGGTGAGATTAGGGAGTCAATACAAAGTATTCAGAGCTATAAATATAGACACTATTGACTTGTTTCCAATCCAGTAAATTCGCGGCAACTGGATATTTTTTAAAAGTTTGTTTCATTAAAAAAAATTAATTTTGCGAAATGCAATTTTATCCCATATGCTTTTAAAAGATGGATTATTTCGTTCTACCCTTCTACTGTGATTTTCATAGGGTTATTATTGGAGGCAAAGGAGCGGACTAAACATATGATTTTCAAAGAAAAAGAACTTGTATCGTAAAATAACAGTATTCTGTCAATTTTATATGTTTAATTTTTTCAAAATTTTGTATTCTTTATAAAAAATTTGATCTATTAAAAATATCCCAATAGAGTTTTAAGGACTTGTTTTTAAAGTTAAAGGTAAGAAGAAAGTCTCACCTCATCAGGGGTTCACCTTAAGTACAATCTCACTACATTTAATTTAATTTGTATTTTAAAATTGCATAGATATGTTAAAATTCTTTGTTTTGTTTGTGCTTGTCCGTTAAGCTTAGAATTTTTCCTCGCGTTTGAATGCCATCAGCTGCCAGTGGAATGATCGACATAGGAATTTACTTCAAGTCTTTGAAACGAAATGTTCTATTACCAATGGTCTCCCGGGGTCAGTGAAGAACTTGCCAATGTGAAAATGGTATCTGTTAGAATGTCTTAAATTATAAATGGAATGCATATACATTTTCATTTGTTGTTAACTTTTACATATGTCCATTATATTTTGTTTTAAATTCTTCCACTTCTGTTATATATCTATGTCCATTATATTTTGATATCAATATGGCATTTTTGTTATATATAAAAAGGTTTTATTAAATATAATTTTAACATTTGAAAGCTTCTTTCTGAATAAAATAAAATAAAAAAAGGATAGTTATCTTTTAACTTTGAAATTCAATATGTCCATTATATTTTGTTTTCAAATTCCCTATTAACGTCAATTCTTTACCAGATTATATATCATGTTTTTGCTATCAAATGGTTATCAGATATTACCGGGTATTTTTGTTTATTCTTAATTTACAGTAATCGTGACACTGTTGTAATGTCAAATTTTATACCCCTGCCTGCATGGCTATATATATATAAAGGTTTTATTAAATATAATTTTAACATATTGAAAGCTTCTTTCTAATAAAAAAAAAGAATAGTTACCTACCTGTCCATTTTAGAAATTCAGGGGTTATGGTCAAGCTCTTGGGCTTCAAATCAAACCCTATTAATGTCAATTCATTTACCCGATTTGTATTCAGTCATGTTTTTGCTCTATCAACTGGTTTTCAGATATTTTTTTTTAATTTGCACCCGTTCCCTGTTTCATTTTTGTTTTTTCTCAATTTAATCGTGACACTATTGTAATGTCAAATTTTATACCTCTGCCTGCATGGCTGATACATTTTCTTGATTCACAAATAGTTTTGTCAAAAAATATATTCTACGAAATATGAAAATATTGTGCATTAAAACAAAAAATATAATCCATCTGCCTTCAAAAATAAGACAAAAATATATGATAGATTACACGATTTTATTTGCACTTTCGTTTCATAGTTCGATCAATTTCCTTTTTATATTCAGATTGTATAGTTAATTCACCTACTAACCCTTTAAAGTCGCCTCTAACCTTGGACCGAAAAACTCACTTGTTTTGGATTTTGTGAATCAAGACATGCGCAGGTTTATTATGTAGAGACGATTATGGGGGGTTGGGTAGTAATTAAGATATAATATATGTTTGTTAAAGTATGTGTCTAGAATTACGGAATGAACGGCAGATGATTGTACAGTGGTTGGAAATTCTCCCAAATAGTGCGCAGAAGATCTTGCACCGAAAATTGCACCTTTCTGCATTACGGGATAACCCTGTGGCGTACTGTCTAATATATAAAACTATTGTGCTGCGGTTCTGGAGCTACAATGTTACCTGCATATCGAGTTCCATCTGTGCATCCCATTTGATTTCATACACATGTTCTATGCTAACAATTTCTAACGAAAAAAAGCTATTGACAAATAGTTTGATGATACAAGTACATACAAATAAAGTTATGAACGTTTTAAAATTTGCAAAAACAATCAAAGGTCGATAAATGACCTTGTTAGCAACTATTATAAAATCGAAAGTCGCATACTGTCTTTGATGTTGTCCGTTTGTCCGATTTTAACAAGGAGAATAGCGGGCATGACCAGCCGACACTCTTCTTTGTTACTTGCTCCCAACATTGATGATTTTAGAGATCTGCAGTGATTCTGCTCCAAGTCTGAATTGTTCCTATGGACCTTCGCAGGAGTTTGATCTTCATTTTTTCCATGGTACATGTACCTACGGGGATGCTATATTTATTTTGGGGTCAATTTAATTCTGGAAAGCGCTAGCTTGTTTGTTGAACTGGAAAGACCAGCTCGATTTATTATACTAGAAGGTAAAGATTTATGTACATGTTTATCATACTATTAAATAAAATGCTTATATAATTATTAAACTTTACAATTGACGGGTGGCCAACAATTACTATATCAAATTAAGTTATATTCGTGGTCAGTGTCAAAGAAAGTTACACGTTTAACATGATACAATTTTTAAGAAATTCTGTACGATTAAAACGGGTGTATTTAATTTGAATATTCAACATTTAAAAAATTATAATATGAAAACTATCCGTAATCAAACTGTAGTGTTAATGATCTAACATGATAACTTAACTTTTATTCTCGAATAAATACTTTAAATAATGAGGCCATATTGATCAAATACCAGAGTCCATATTAATCAAATACCTCTGTTCATTCAAACAATTGTATGATTTATCAATTGATATAAATTTAAGTAAGTTTGATTGCCATAGTTGTTGAGCTTCTTAAATTGGCTTAAATTTTTATTATAAATTATGAATTATGTCAGTCATGAGACTATGTAACTTTTAAGTTATATAGACAATTTTGTTTGCCAAATAAATCTAATTATTATTTAGAATGACCACTCCAATTTTGAGTAACTCTGCATCCTTTTCATAGTTTCCTTTGGTGATTTTTGTGTGTGTGTTTACATGTTTGTGTTTATTTTTTTTCTCTTTTTTTTCTTTTATCAGTCCTAAGGTCAATTGTAAACACCCTCTGAATACTTTAATTAATCAAAAATGACAAATGTCACTCATATTTACACAATCACATCACATTAACACATGATGAACATAAGGTCATGATATAAAAAATATATATAAATCGAATAACTCGCTATAATTTGTAAAAATTTCCTCTTAACTTTAAAAAGTAAAATAAAATGGTAAAAACTGTAAATTTATCAAGCTGTTTAATCGATGTACTAATTGAATAAATGCTATCAATAATAAAGAAATAATTAATGAAAGAAGACAGAAAAAAATATTCTTGGATCCTGGATGTAAATCGGAGAAGGAGCACTTTATTCTGTAAACTGTAAAATATGTTTATTGTTGCATTATTTCATTTTCTGCACAAAGATAAGACAATAATTTAGGTCAATAATTCAACACTTGCATATTTTATTCATCTATTAAACTTTTTTGAAGAGAATTACAGTGGCAGTATTTTAAATCATAAAAATATATTAATGTATAAGTTATGTAATTTAAGTGCAATAAGGTTCACAGTTAAAACGGAATTATAAAGGTTGATCGTATAAATTTAAACTTTTTGGAGAACCAGTTTAGATCGATAAGGAACCAGTTAGATATGAGGCGCAGAAATTGACCAATCAGGAACGTACACTTTTGGTCACTGCACAGATGCATGTCATCAGTCAACGATAGCAATCAGTGATAGAAAGAATAATGATTTGATATTTTACTGGCAGGTAAGAATAGCTGATTTCTATCTGATGTAGCTTAGACGTGTGTGAAACCAGGGTTAGTTTGATGTACACCGCTATAGGATGTGAAAGTAGACATGGGCTGGGCCGCCACCGGCATCCACGTACTTTTCATTGATTTCTTGTTTTCATGATGACAGTTTTCTTATAAGTTCGAATTTTCTTAAAATAAGATAACTGGACAACGTCATTGAGCCCGATTCCTCTCGTAGTGCAGTAAGATTAGAAATGAAAGTATCCGGTGTCACTGTCTCAAATAGGAGTTATGCCCCTTCTGTTTGTAGTTGCTATAGCCTAAACCTACATGTAGTCCAACACATAACTCAGTCAAAGATAAACTTTGAGCCAAGAAAATGTGTGAATTTCAATAAATGTTCTATTTATCTTATATTTTGTGGGAAGTTTTGTTTTTGTGTGTTCAGTTTTATATTAAATATATCAAAACGTCAGGTATTGTTTACATTGCGAAATATTCAATAGATTGCAGGCATTTAAAAAATTGGACCAATATGTTAGAATTAACCAATTGTAATTCCCAATACCATTAAAGCAAAAGGTTATCAAAATAAGCTCACATAAACTGACACAAAATCCGATTTTACATGGGCTTAAAGTTCCAAATACTTGAAGAAAACCTTTATTAATAATATCATAAGTGAGTATAACATACTTTTAAACCATGTAGGAATGTTTTAGGAATATTAAGATTTCAGTTCAATACTTTTCACCCTTTGTTTTAATTTGTCCTTAACATATATTTTTCTCGGTGTCTCTAATCTAACCTGTTATTCTAAGTAAATATTCAAAGTTCATACAAACAGGAAAATAATTTTTATTGAATGAAGAATAAATAATGTAAGTTAAATTAAATTTAAAGATTTTATTGAAAATCTTGATTTATCTGAAAGTTATTCCCTTGTTGTAAAGTATTTGCTTGATTGAACTGTAGGTTTTACCTCAATAAACATGTAAAAAAAAAAAAATGAATATTTTTAGCTTCAACGAAGTTGGGGGAGCTTATGTAATACCCTTGGCGTCGGCGTCGGTGTCGGCGTCGAAGGTTAAGTTTTTTGGAGCAGTTTTCTTTTTAAGTACTTCTATGTCATATTGATTAGACATGCATGGAAGATGGTTCTTGTGTTTCATTGTACCAGTCAAAGTTTCAGATGCTGCAATTTCAGCAAAGGAAGGACCAGGTTAATGTTTTTGGAGCAGGTTAACATTTTTGGTGCAATTTTTGGTGCAGGTTTCATTTCCAAGTAACTATAAGCCCTATGTAAACCAAACTTGCATGGATGATACATAGGATGCAAAGTTGCTGATTGAAAAACTTTTTCCGTTAGTGAACAGGTTAAAGTTTTTTGGTGCAGGTTTCATTTCCAAGTATCTGAAGTCCTAAAAACTTGCATGGATTACATCTAAGGATGGATAAACCAGGCTTGCTTCGGATGCTGAATCTGACCTACATTTTCCGGTTGAGTGAACAGAAAGTTTTTGGTGCAGGTTTCATTTCCAAGTATCTGTAATCCTATGTTGACCAAACTTGCATGGATGATACATCTAAGGATATACTACCAGGCTTGCTAGATGTTTACTGAATCTGACCTGCATTTTCCGGTTGAGTGAACAGGTTAAAGTTTTTGGTGCAGGTTTCATTTCCAAGTAATTATAAGCTCTATGAAAACTTGCATGGATGATACATCTGTCTTTAATTTTCCAGTTGAGTGAACAGGTAAAGTGTTATAGGTATTTGCTAGTAATAGAAATGTTACCAAACTTGCATTTTTAAATACAGTAGCAACTACCGGGCTTGCTATGCTGACACATTTTCCGGTAGTGAACAAGTAAAAGTTTTTGGTGCAGGTTATAACTATGAGTTCTTTAATGCAAATCTTGCATGGATTTACATCTTTCATAGATGCATTACCAGGCTTGCTTCGGTGCTTTACCTACATTTTGTGGATGAGTGAAAATGTTAGTTTTTGATGTATGTTTCATTTAAGTTAACTATGAGATAATGTGCAAACTTGCATGGAAAATGGACTGCTGCTTCACCTTCATAACTTATGGTTGCAGGTCTATTACCAAAAAAATTTAAGGCTTTTATAACATTGTATAAACCAAACTTGCACAAATGTTGCATCAAGAGATAAAACTCTTTGCTTTAGATGCTGAATTAAAAAGAACTATTTTTTACTATGTATATAAAATTGCTTAGATATTTTCTTTTTGGAATGTAATTTTTTGTTGGTTAACATTTTATAATTACAGGTAATCTCTATGACAAAACAGAATTTGAGGAAGTCAACCATGAATCTTACCTGCGCAGTTCTAACCAAACTTTCTATGCTGAGAAAATGTTTTCTTGACTGTCTTCAGGGTTCTATAAAAACTACGGTGTTGTCCTAATATGAACTTTACATGTTAATGAGACCCAATAAAATCACAAATATTGATCAGAGAGTGGAAGAAATATGTAAATGTCCTGTAAGTACTGTAGCTGACTATGTTAACAAAATATTGTTTATTATCATTATGTGAACTATTTGTCATTTAGTGCTGCTAAATAGAAAGTTACCATAAATATTTGATGAACATTATAACTGATTTATGCTTGCAGGTAAGTATTTTCATTTCTGTGGTTTTAAAGTCAAATGTATTGTTTTAATGGATATAACAAATTGTTTTCCCGAAAGTCATTCTGTTAAATTATTTTACATTTTCTTAAATATAAACAAACATCAGAAACAGGGATGGAAATAGAGAAGTAAACCATGCCAAACATAACTTATACAGGTGAATTTCAATATTTTTTTTTTGTGGGAAGTTTGTCTTTTGTGTGTTCAGATTAAATATATCAAAACGTGTTTACATTGGTCATTCATAAAATGATAATATTTTCTTTACAGATACTGTAATATTAATATGTGAGTATGACTTTTAAACCATGTATACATTAGATAAAATAATTTAAAATGAAAAAAAAATATTGACTTGATCAAGTTATACGGATTCAGCTTGACATGTACACAGGCAATTTGAAAACAATGTCAACCACTTATTCAATCATTATACATTTTGTTTTTTATAAAAAGTTGGTCAATATGTGAACAAAATTTACATGAGCTGCATGTTTGTACAACACATTAACGGAAAAAATGTTTATTATCAAATTTTTAAAATTAATATGTATTCTAAATAGAAAGTTACTATTTCAATGACAGAAAAACAGTGGTTTTAAAATGTATTGTGAACGTTTCATAACTTAGCAAATTTGCATATGCCTTGTTCATATGTTTTACTATGTATATACTTTCTGAACATTTTATAATTACAGGTCTATGACAAACTGAGGAAGCAAAATTTCACGAGAAATTAGTCCCTATATACGGTGATATAACTTTACCTGAACTAGGAATAAAACCAAATGACCTAAAATTACTCTGTGACAATGTGAATATAGTGTTTCATAGTGCTGCTACCATAAGATTTGATGAACATTTGAGGTATTTTATAATTTGTTTTCCCGTCATTTGTTAAATTATTTTACATGTATATTCAATATTTTTTTTTTGATGTGTTGTCATTCATATGTAGTTTCTTTACAGATACTGTAATATTAATTGTAATGAATACATTAGAAACATTTTTAAAAAAAATTTTGGTTTTACATTGATCATAAGGGTTGTTTGACATCGGATTAAATTTTTAATTAACAGATTAATCATAATAACACATTTTACCAGCAAAATAAAATTCTCAAAAATGCAGATCATATTGCTTTAAACAAAAAAAGTCCTTTTTCCTATATACAGTTTAGAGGAAAATCTTGACTCATGCCAAAATATTTAATAGCATATTATTAATTCTGCTGAACTGATAAGCATACTATAACAATTGCCTGTTGTACATGTCAATTAAAACTAAGTTCTTGTCTTTGAAACTTTTATGTATATTATGGAATTATGTTTTTACAGGGTTGCAGTTGAAATGAATGTAGTGGCAGTAAGAAAGATGGTTATCTTATGTAGACAGTTTAAACATCTTGAGGTAAGCAAGGATATATAATTTGTCTCTTCTCTGTTAGTGTAATACAGAAGTAAATTTCTGTAAGTGCTAAGAATGTGTTTAACATAATTATTCAGGAAATCTACCGAGTTTTATTCAAATATTTCCTTAAATGAAATTTTTTGACTTCCTTTAAAAAATACATGCACTGATAACAAGCTAACTTCCTAGTATTTCAGTGCCAGATAATCTTGAATATTAAAGGGATAGATGTTGAGCATAGCATCAGTTAATTTTACTCAGGGTCAATACCATGAAGAGATCTTGGGAACTGTGAATACAACTATGTTTTTTAAAAATTTTAATTATAGAAATATATAGAGGATATTAATTTCTTTGTACCAATAGTCTAATCCACACTTTGCAAAAGTTGTTTCCCTTTGCGGGGTCAACCAAAAGGTCAAAAGGGAAAGAAACATCATTTCTCCTCTTTATGCTACGATTGCTACCAAATATTTGGGCGTGCTGTGATAAATCCATTGTGTTTAATTATTTTTCTTTCAATGTGTGGGTAGCCCCATCTTGGGGCAATCAGTACACAAAAGGCAGAGCTTTTTTAAAGTCAAATGACGAAGTTACAAACCTGAAAACGACAAAGGCTACTGTGTGGATTGTATGGGTGTATCCCCTAAGATGGTGGCCAAGGGACATAACTTTTGAAAAGTGTGGATTGGACTATTTGGATATGAATTTAATCAGGGCTCTACATTCATATTCTTTCTTCGTCATTTAAACTCATTTAGAGTTTGTATATTATAAATTGTACCAGGGTATACATCTTCAGGATGTATATTATACATTTACCAGGGTATACATCCTCAGGATGTGGGATGAGGCTTGTGGTTTTTGAGACAGTTGTATTTTTAGAAAGAATGGAAAGAGGGATAACTCATGAAAAAATTTCCATTACACTGTACAATCAAAAAGGATAATTGCAACAAGACTGGGAATTCTAAATGGTACATTCAGTGTATTTATCTTTCCCATCTATATAAACTATCTTGACATGACACTACACCTTAGTAATGGTCTCTTTCAAGTCATAAACAGTAAGAATCTGGGTGATAGTGCAAATTAAATGAGCATTAATTAAAATTAAATAACACTATCTCTATATCCCTCACTGGTCACTTGTAGACTGGTTTATTGACAGCTTCTATCCTCATAATCCAGGTAGTTAATCAAATGTTGAAGATTTACCTATATTTCACTGTTATTCTTGACAAATTTTACATTTTTATTGATTTAAGGAAAGGATTTGCTAATTTTGTTTTCCTATTTTACCATTAAATTTTGCTTACAGGTATTTCTACACATATCAACAGCATATGCTAACTGTGATCGTCCCTTCATAGAAGAAATGGTATACAATCCCCCTGTGGAACCTCAAAAATTGATAGATGTTTTAGAGTAAGTTTTTGATACATGTACATTGCAGTTTTATATGGATAATTTTATCAGTGATCTTTTAAAAGTCTTTAGCTGAAAGTGTATAAACAGTACCTCACTAATTTTTTGGAACACCTTATTGTTGCAAGATTGCTATTTAGTATTTGTAAGCAAAACAAATCTAATAGATTGTTATTCAGTATTTGTAAAAAAAAAAAAATTAATACATTGTTGTTCAGTATTTGTAAGCAAAACAAAATTAATAATTTGGTTATTACTCTGTGTAAGTTTTAAAATTTGTATAATAATACGCTAAAGCAAAAAATGAGAGCAAACCGTTTCATGAAATTTATGTATGAAAAAAGTTTTGACAAATAAAAATAATTAGCGGTTCTTTAATCACAACTTTACTGTGTGCTCCTTTTGAATTTGGTCCATGCATGAACATTATTATGCTTTTGAAGATGGCAGATTGAAAAAAAAAGGTATCTAGAGAATTTTTTTTTTATATAGATGGATGGATGATGACATGATAAATCTAGTAACACCAAAACTGATCGGCAACAAGCCTAACACGTACACATACACCAAACACTTGGCCGAGCACCTGTTGTTGAAGGAAGGCTCCGATCTACCTCTGGCTATAGTCAGACCCTCCATTGTAGGGGCTTCATGGAAGGAACCCGTCCCAGTAAGTATTCATATCATAGTTGTAAAAGATTTCAGCTCAGGGGAAATAGATTTTTTTAATTAATAGAATAAACACTGTAATTGGTCTAAGAAGAAAATTGCACAATGTTAGACATGCAAATATATTAATTTTGTTACAGTGCTAAACACTTGTTGAAAAATGAAATTATTTTATTTTCCAGGGCTGGATTGACAATTACAATGGCCCCAGTGGACTTTATGTAGCAGTAAGTTACCTTCTAAAGATATCTAAATTTAAAATATTAACAGTGTGTCTTTGCTCGAGCACTGCTGATATGCAGTTCTTTCATTGAACTTGCCCTTGTTTCATTCTTTAGGCTGGGAAAGGAATATTGAGGTCGATGAAAGGAGATTATCGTGGAGTGGCGGACATAGTGCCAGTGGACATCCCCGTCAATATGGTCATCGCGGCCGCCTGGTACACCGCCGTAACCAAACCCAGCTCCTGCCTTATCTATCACAGTACCACTGGCTCCGTCAACCCATTCACCTGGGGAGAATTAGGTCAGTAGCTATAATTAGACATTGTCGGGAATCCACAATGTTGATCTTGCCCTCCCATGGGACACGGGCGGAAATTTAATTTTTCTTTTAATTTATAGTGTTAATCATGAACTATACATTTATTTTGCAGAGGGAGTTGTGATGAATTTCTGGAAGAAAGTGCCTCTTGATTCTTGCTTTAGAAGGCCTAAGGCAGCTCTCACTAGCTCTGGGTAAGATATTTATACAGATAATATACTTAACAGAGAATTTATGCAGTTTAATTTTAATGCAATAAAAAGAAATAACACCCCCTCTTTTTTTAGTTTCCTTCATGATTTCTACACATTTATTGAACACATGCTGCCAGCTTACGTTGCAGACCTGGGCTACTGTTTACTTGGAAAAAGGCCTAGGTATTAAAATACTACAAAGCTCACATGTCCAGTTTTGAATTTAATGTTTGAAAGTTACTGAAATTCAATTGGCATCAATAACAACGTTAGTCAGTTAATATTTACTGTTGCATTTCAGGATGGTCAAGATCTATAACAGATTACACAAAGCTATTGGAACCTTGACCTACTTTACCATGCATTCATGGGAATGGTCTTACAATAACCTTGACATGTTGACCAGTCACATGACCTCAGAGGACAAGAAGGTATATTTAATGTCCATAGAAAAAAGTTTCTTCAGTAGAATAGTGAACAAATAAATACATCTTGTTTAAATAATGGACTATTTTTAGCAAATTTTAAACCATCTCAAAAATATTTCATCTCAGTATTTGCCTTTTTAAATTGATTTTATTTTGCCCGATTTTAGTCTCAGAATGCACCAAAATGTATTTTAACTTACTTGTTTAGCTTTCATATCACTTTCAGTAGATTATTTAGAGCTTCGTATACATTAGAATTTTTATTTTACAGTGCTTTTACTTTGATCCACGTGGACTTCACTGGCCCACATACATAGAGAACTATTGCCTTGGAACAAAAAAATTTCTTCTGAATGAAGACTTATCAGGCCTACCTGCGGCTAAAGCTCACCTGAGAAAGTAAGTTGACTCTTCTGCCAAAAACAGTCAAATTTTCATCTAAATCTTGATTGGGCCAAAAATGAAACTTAGACATAATGATGTCAAAATGAACCACCACCTGGTAGCACAGATTAATTGTCTACCATTGGGATATAAATCATACATGTTAACTCTACCAATTTAGGCGGGAGTCTACCGCTTTTTCACTCCATCTCCCGCCTACCGATTTAATTCAGAAATCTACCGCTTTTCTACAAAAGTTGCGTCTAAAGTATTTTTGGTTCGCTTGGGTATCCATTTTTGAAGCCACTCTCATAAAATCTCGTTAGATATCGCGTGATTTGACTCGGAAGCATACAAATGCTTTTTTAGTACCGATGTGTACATAGATTTCAAGCACGAATTTGACAACGACAACCGTACAAGATTACCAGCGATTACATTGGTTACAATAATTTAGTCAACATCACTGCCATAAAAAAGGAGATACATCTTTTAAGAATTAAATGAAAACGTTTGACATTGTCTATAAAAGCACAGGAGCTCACAATTTTATCAATAAAGTCAATAGAAATCACTCGATTGACCAAGCCATGTGGCACATCTCTACTTTCGTTTTCGTTCATCGCGGGGAAATTTGTTTTATATAACGAAAGATAGGAACTTGTTTTAGATCTAGTTTAAACCATGCCATCATTTGTTTTGTTTGACAATTGAATGAACATTCGGAAATATTGCTTCTAGTCTATATCAGCAAAGATCACTCTTCAAAAGGCCAAGTTAAACAGCCAATCCAAGCAAAATGATGAGCATGAAAAATATTTGATTTTGTAAATTTATGTCAAACTTATGGTGTTTCTGTCTTCTTCTTTGCAGTTTATATTTAAGATTAATTATTGTAGGTTTCATTTAAAGCTTTACATACATGTATATTACATGAAAAATATCGAAAATCCAAGCGTAAAACAACGTGTACGCAATGCTTACTTTTGAGGTCTGAATCTCCCTATTTTTTATCACAATAGGTTAACATGTATGTATAAATGTTTAAATGTAGACATTTCACATTTTTCTCAATCTTCAGCTGCTTTGACATTTTTTCTTCTTAACCTAATACACTTTGATAATCTGTCTTTTACATAGATTGAGAAATATCCGCTACTGTTTCAACACTGTACTACTGATCGCTCTGTGGAGGATTCTCATAGCCCGCTCAGAACTGGCCAGAAATCTCTGGTACCTCATCATTGGTTTAATGAACAGATTTGTGAAATTCTTTCGGTTGACAAGTACCATACACAAGCAATGAAAGAATCCATACCTCACATACCTTGGGAAATTATATCACCAAATACTGACAGCAAATCCATAACAAGCATTTCTACAGGACTTTTCCCAGACAAGTTTATTTCAGCCTAGGATTCTGTGCTGTGGAGAAGCTTTACGGATGACACAAATCAAGTTTCAAAGATTGGGTCTGGTGCTGATGTCGGAATGGCCGACAAAGGAAGCAGGAAGACCAGAATTGGAAATGTGGCTTATTTATTATGATTATTTTTTTTCATGTAAAGAATGAGGATTAAAGGAGGCATTTAATTTGATTTGTGTATTTTTTTTTTTAGGTCACCTGAGTAAACTCAGGTGACCTATTGCTATCACTTTTCGTCCGTCGTCGTTCGTCGTGCGTCGTGCGTTAACATTGGAACATTTTCAGCTTCTTCTCTGAAACCACTGAACCAATTTCAACCAAATTTGGCAGATAGCATCTATGGGTAAAGGGGAACATAAATTATGAATTTCATGGTCCCTGCCCCCCTGGGGCCTAGGGGGTGGGGCAAAAACCACTAAAATTAGTGCAATCTTTAAAAATCTTCTTCTTTACTCCTGGACATCAAGCAGTCAAACTGTTTGCATGATTGTAATCAGCATTGAGTCCTCTACCAAAATTGTGAAATTCATGGCCCCGGGGTCATGGGTTCTAGTGCTAGGGCGGGGCTAAATAAGTATATAGTGAAAATGCATTATTTCTTTGAAATTCTTCTTTTCTGCTACTGGGTATTAAATAAACTAACTAAGTATATAGTTATGATGAGCAAGAGTGCCTCTACCAAAATTGTGAATTTTATGGCCCCAGGGTTAGGGGTTCTGGTGTTAGGGTGGGGCTCTTTAGATTATAATAGTGAAAATACATGAATTCTTTGAAAATCTTCTTCTCTGCTCCTGGGTATTAAATAAACTAACTAAGTGCATAGTTATGATGAGCAAGAGTGCCTCAAACAAAATTGTGAATTTTATGGCCCCAGGATCAGGGGTTCTGGTGTAAGGGGGGGCTCTATAGATTATATAGTGAAAATACATGAATTCTTTGAAAATCTTCTTCTCTGCTCCTGGGTATTAAATAAACTAACTAAGTGTATAGTTATGATGAGCAAGAGTGCCTCTACCAAAATTGTGAATTTTATGGCCCCAGGTTCAGGGGTTCTGGTGTTAGGGCGGGGCTCTATAGATTATATAGTGAAAATACATGAAAACCTTCTTCTCTGCTCCTGGGTATTAAATAAACTAACTAAGCGCATAGTTATGATGAGCAAGAGTGCCTCTACCAAAATTGTAATTTTATGGCCCCAGGGTCAGGGGTTCTGGTGTAAGGGGGGGGGGGGCTCTATAGATTATATAGTGAAAATTCATTATTTCTTTTAAAATATTCTTCTATGCTTCTGGGTATTAAATAAACTAAATAAGTGCATAGTTATGATGAGCAAGAATACCTCTTCCAAAATTGTGAATTTTATGGCCCTAGGGTCAGGGGTTCTAGTGATAGGGCGGGGCTCTATTGATTATATAGTGAAAATACATTAAATCTTTGAAAGTTTTCTTCTCTGCTCCTTGGTATTAAGCAGATGAACTACCTATATAGTTATGATGAGCAAGGGTCCTAATCTTCCAGAACTGTGAATTTCAAGGCCCCAGGGTCAGGGGTACCATAAAGGAGGGGGGGGGGGGCTGTACTTATATACTGAAACTGGATGAATTGTTTGAAATCTGCACCTTGGTATTGATCAAATATTTTTGAAAAGCAAGGGTGCATTTTCAAAAATTGTGCAATGTGTGGATCTAGGCCTAAGGGTCAGGGGTTCATGTGTGATTGGGGCATTACTGATCATGCTGAATATTACTGATTACTTGAAATGCATTTTTTGTTCCCCTACCCTGCCTATGGGTATTAAGTAAACAAACTAAGCAACTGCTAAGTGTATTGTTATGATGATCAATGGTGCCTCTTTCAAAATTGTGAATGCCATAGCATCTGGATTAAAACATGAATCAAATTCAATCACTGGAAAGTTGTTGCATAATGCTCAGGTGACCTATAAGGCCCATGGGCCTCTTGTTTACCTTGAAGATATCTAATACAGATATTGGTATTAAAAGAAGGGTATCCTTTGGATTTGCCTCATACAAATATGAAAACAAACTTTTGAACAATGTTTTGAATCCAGTTTTGGTTGTTTATGAAATGAAACATAATCCTAGTGACTTGAAGGTGAAAAAAAGATTTTAAGGGAAATGCACCAAATTTGGAGTAATAGGGGCTTCAAAAGTAGAAGCAGAACAGCAGAAGATGTTAAACTTTAAGTTTATCTACGTCAAAAAAATTTTTTTTTTTGTTTATTGACACAAGAATAAACCAATAAAGATAAATTTATACATTTAACAAATACGGTAAAAGCAGTTTTATATTAATTGACAGATTGAAAATTGTAATAATAGTCACTCCTGGATTTGAAGAAATATGTAAACACCTACTTTTAAAAGATTCATATGTTATACAAATGAAACAATACATATAGTATTTAATGTAAACAGGTTAGATCATTTTGGGCATATATGTTATTGTAAATTTTTTTCAGTGAAGTATCAAGGTATATTTAACCTGTAAACTTTATATGTCAATTTAACGATTCATTTTCAATGGCACAGCGTGGCATGGATTTCAGTGAGAAATGAATGTCTTTGTATACTCATCAACAAAATTATGCATGTCTTTATTAGGATGGACGATTTCTTTAAACAAATAATGAGATCTGTGTTTAAGCTAAGGGGGATAACTACTATAATGGTCAGCTTTCGCTATACATATTACCATTGTCTATCTCTGATACAGTTCCATATGCACTGTTGTTCGTATGATCATACAAATCTTCTCCAGAAATCCTTTTTGAAACTTGAGCAGCACTTGCATAATGATTTTGGTTGGTGGTACTCTCAGCGTGATTATAGATATTTTCAGACCGAGTTCCTTTTATTTTTGATCGTCTTTTACCAAGAATATCATAATCATCTTGGCTTTTGTAATATGTTTCTTCTTTGATGTCATTGCTATTCATTTCAGGGTACCTGTCATTATCAGTTGATTGATTATCCTTTAGTTCACTGATGGATGTGTGGTTTTCACTTTCGAACTTTAGGGTGCTCTGATCTTCTCTTTTCCCTTTTTGATGTCTTCTGTAATATAATTGTGAATTAATTTATTCTCATTTGAGAAGGCTAGAGCTATTTCTATTTTTAAACAAAAGATTTTATTGTATTCTACTTGTTGAAAAAAAGGGATGTTAGTTTGAAAGGGTATATATATCAAAACTGGATGGAAGATGTCTCATTTTTTGTTTTAATTGAAAAGTCATTTTACCTTATGACAATGATTGTCAGGAGAATAACACCTGCAATTAGAAACAGTCCGCCAAATACCCCGCCAACCAAAGGACCAACATCATCTGTAACTGATTCAAGTCAATTACATTAAATTATTATACTAATTTTCTGAACATTTATTATGCCCCGGAATCGAAATATCCCGGGGGTACTTAGTATATTGTTTTTGTCCTGTCTGTCTGTCTGTTGTCAACTTTAACCCAGCCCAAAACTATTGCGCTGTCAAGGGTAAGGTTTTTTAATATTTGACACGATTGTTCATTATTACAAAACCTTTCTATTGGTACAGAATTTTTTGGTCATGTGACCTCAACTGTGACCTTTGACCTACATTTGAAAGGTCTTCAGTATTTCCACCTTTGCTACCCTTAAAACATCTTACAAGTGTATACCACTTCAGTCTACGTCCCACTCCAGAGAAGTGTTACCATCGGGGGCATTGTGTTTCACGAACAAATCTTGTTATACATTTTATAATATTGACGATAATTTAAAGACAAAACAAATAAAGTAAAACCCATTTAAAACGAATACGGATATAGCGAATTTTTCTTGGATTCCCAGCTATATAAATTTAACAAATTCTTATACGGATATAAAGAATTACGGATTTCAAAGGTCCCAGTGACTTCGTGATAATCGAGTTTTACTGTAATAGAATCTATAACACAGGGAACTGTTTTGCAAAGAGCTTTCGACTAAGTTTAAAAAATTACATCTTACCAATTTGATAATGTTGTCAGATTTTACTTACAAGTAACTTCGATTTTTTCACATTAAAATCACAATTTATTTAACTTAGAGAACAAAATAAAGTGGTAATACATGTACGAGGATTGTTCGAAAAGTTCGTGGACAACTGTCATATCTTTTTATTTGACATCATGTGTTATCCAAATTCGGTAGAAATATTTTAACAATAAATCCAAATGATTTGAATTAATTTTTTTCAAAATATTACGATTTATTCAAAACATCTTGATTTTTATAATGCAAAAATCGGATCGCGGGGCAGGTCAAAATTTAGTGAGTTACAAACAAAACACTAAATAATGTCTGAAGTCATATTCTCTGTAAAATGGAGCAAAAAGGAAAAACAACCTAAAAATTCAAATTCAGAATTTTTACATCCATTCGTATAAAAGATTATGGCTTTGCATTTTGCTTTGTTGAAAAGCAATCAACTTGAGCAGATAAGTAGTCCTTATTGAAAACGACAAAAACGGTGACGTTTTAGAACGTCACGGAGCAGCAGATAACGATGCAATTTTGTGTTTTACCACGGAAAAATTCTGAATTAACACTAAAAATGTTGGAGGAACAAGAAATATGTCACAAGTGAGTTGTGCATGTGTGTACAAATAGTGCAGGTAGTATTTGAGTGACAGAGGCTCTGTATCGGTGCACGTGAGGACAATTTGTGAAGAAACGGTTTAACTGTAAAAATCTGAACAAAAAAGTTGAAAAGTTGGAACGTCACGAAAAGACATATGCGCTTCAGAGTTGCTTATCCTGTGAAAGCGATGTTAAGTAATTAAAGAAATTAAAACCTTGACAAGGGAATATATACAACGAGAGCAATTCTTGAAAAATAAATTTCAAATATTAGAGAAAGGATTTAATAAATGGACATTGGATTATACTCTGTGATTTGTATAGGGATAGTATTTTTATTTATTATCGGCCGCAGCAGCGGCCGATCTATTTGTGGTTGTGTTAGAAAGTGCACATGGGGAAATGAGATGTTATTATTTTATTACTTCAGTGAAATAATTCTCTAATGATTACATGAATAAAATCATGAGTTAAATATTTTAAAAACTTACATTAAACTAAGTTTTAATCTTGTTATTATGTTTCTATTTCGTTATCATTTCGCATCAGATAATTGATTATTTGTGGTTAAATAAAGAGTTTACAATAGGTACCCCCCATCCTGGGAGTGTGTAAAACACGAAAGGAAATTGTCGTGAATTTCCGGATAATAATAAAGTGGTAAAAGTGCATGGTGAATAAAAAATTGAAAAGTTGCTTAACTAGTAAAAACTTGTTTGAATATGCTGTACAGCTGCGAATGACACAAAAATTATTTTTATACACTTTGCACCGCGCCATGCAGCATAGTCTACTCTACAGAAACAAGATACATTATTCCTTGACAAAAATCCAGGGTATCAGCACGTGGGACATCTTGAGAGGCCTACATCTTCTTCCTTTTGACGACAATAATTTCTCATATTAATCATAGACTTTTTTACATCGATAAATACGTTGGATGAGCAAATTCCGCACTAAAATTTCTATTTAATTTCTGAAAATATTTATTTATTAATTTTGCTTTGAAGACAGTCTGGAATAAAAATGAACACTATTTCAGCTTTGAATATCCTGTACTTTCCTCGCATGAATGCTTTGAATTGTGAAAGTACTTTTTGGCATGCTAAAATTTGTTAGCGGCCGATTTGATGCTTTGCATCAATTTTACTTGTTTCTTTATTTATTATTATTTTTTAAAAGAAATTCTTGATGCTATGTTTTGACGTTAAGTGTGCTCCGCGGGTATAAAACATGTTGATTTTAAACTGAAGTAAAATGATTTCTGTTAAATCGAATGGAATGAAACTTCACACATCAACAAAACAAATATTTTAACATATTATATTGTACTTATTTTAAATTTCTAGTGAGTAATATAAATTAGATTGACGTCGTCCACGAATTTTTCGAACAACCCTCATATATCCCTTGAGTTACAATTGCTTAAAAGCCTGATTTTATGAAGATTCCTGGTCTGATAACTTGTGAAATTTACTTACAGAAATTAAAATGTTACATATGCATGCGCATGTATAAAAACAAGATGGGTTTGTGAAACACCGATCGAATGGAATGAAACTTCACACATCAACAAAACAAATATTTTAACATATTATATTGTACTTATTTTAAATTTCTAGTGAGTAATATAAATTAGATTGACGTCGTCCACGAATTTTTCGAACAACCCTCATACATCCCTTGAATTACAATTGCTTAAAAGCCTGATTTTATGAAGATTCCTGGTCTGATAACTTGTGAAATTTACTTACAGAAATTAAAATGTTACATATGCATGCGCATGTATAAAAACAAGATGGGTTTGTGAAACACCGATGCCCCCCGTCTGATAGCTCATCACCAAAGACTTAGGTAATGATGACAAAATTATCTGGAGAAATTTTCACAAAGACTACACAAGAAAAGCACATTTGAAATATGAAAGCCTTATCACTAATCATTCAAAAGTTAAAGTTACATAATGAGTCGAAATCATGTGTTTCTTTATAGATATCTGTATCATACAGAGAAAGATTTATGAAAATTATGAGTATATAGCGAAGATATGACAACTAAACTGCACTGTAAAGCAAGAAAAGACTACACATTTATCAGTTCACAATTCTTCCATTGGTTGAAATTGGTGTTGCAGTTTACCATAGGCAAAACATTGTTAGCAATGTTGACCAATGGTAACATTTATTCGTTACCAATTCTGCAGGCCAACCACATCTATGGCAGATTTACCAAAGAAGATTTTTCGTTTATTAGAGTCACCCCAAAGATGGCTACCAGGACCGTTCCTGGTAGCATGAGTGAAGTTTCCTTATTAGTAATAACACTTCAGATGAATTTAACTATGATTTAAGGGAGAATACTGTTATTTCAACATAGTATTGCAAATTTGAAACAAATGAACACTTGTTTTGGCAAAAGAATATCATATGAAGACAAGTTTTCATATGAAGTTATATCCATAAAGTAATTTTATTTTGTTTCAGCAGCAAACAAACGTCTTATTGAATTTGAAAAAAATCCTCAATATTTGCCGTTGGTAAACATTGATCACCATAGCTGACCATAAGTAACCAAGTGATACCATTATTCACCTTTGACAATATGGTTTGGTTGTTTTATAATTTGTTTACCAATATGCCGTTCACAGTTTAAATGCAACCAATTGTACCATTGTTTAACAATGGTGCCAAAGACAAGTCAATGGCAAATCGATTTGTACCAATGGAAGAATTGTACTTGAGACCATAATCATGGAAACTTATTCAACTTTTCTGCGCACGCTTACAATAGGGAGGGAGAATTTTTGTATGTTGTTTAAAGTTCCTTTCAAGAATTTTTCACTAATATGGAGACGGCGCCACCACTTGCCGGAGAGCTGCAAGTTTTATCCTATGCTCGGCACTCGGGGTCATTGAGGGCCTCGGTGGGATCTTTTTCGTGCCAGCACCTACTGCCACACGGGACCTCGGTTTATGCACTCTCATCCGAAGGACCTGTCTCCACGTCCCACTGTGGGATTCGTAGGGAGGAAGAAGTAAAGCAATAGTTTCGTGCTGGGGCATACTGAAATTATTTTTACTTATATTTTTCTTCATGTAAATAGATTTTCTAAGTTCTGAAACCTGTAATTTTCTGAAACTTTATACTTTCAGGAACTGAACAAAATTTTCACGGGTCATGTACACATTCTACATTTGTTAATTTCCCCTTTTGTGCGTCACGGTGTTTCTTTAAGACCAAGGTTATTATTTTTTTTTTAATGTAGGTCAAATTCTAAGGCATGGAGGCTAAAATGTTGGTACCAAATGAAAAGTCCTGTCAGAAAGAATTTGCATGACAAAAAAAGCCCTGTCATTAACCATATTTCCAAAGTTATTTTTTTTAGTAGGTCAAACTTCAAGGTTGAGATGCCAAAGCTGTTGGTACTTTTAAAAGAAAGATATTGTTGCAAGAAATAAACATGTGTGAACATGAACGCTCTTTAAAAAGTACGACAAAGATAAAAGTGTTTAATTTTCAAAAGTAGACCAAACTCCATGGACATGAGGTCAAATTAGTTAGTACTCAAAGAAGGGACAAAGGAAATAAACATGTGAAATGTGAAAGCGCAACATAAACAAGAGACCCATGGGCCACATCGCTCACCTGAGAAGCTTCGACCATTCTGTTCTTTACCAGATTTCTCCCTTGTAATACATATTGTGACCCCACCAAACCCCACTGATCAAAATTAAGACAATTTGAAATATACACTACCCCAGGATGCTTCCACATAAGTTTCAGCTTTTCTGGCCAAGTGGTTCCTGAGAAGAAGATTTTCATAGATTTTTCCTATATATTTCTATGTAAAACTTTGATTCCCCATTATGGCCCCGCCCTATCCCCCCGGGGATCATGATTTGAACAATTTAGAATCTATACTACCCCAGGATGCTTCCACATAAGTTTCAGCTTTTCTGTCCCAGTGGTTCTTGAGAAAAGATTTTTAAAGATTTTTCCTATATATTTCTATGTAAAACTTTGATTCCCCATTGTGGCCCCGCCCTACCCCCGGGGTCATGATTTGAACAATTTAGAATTTACACTACCCCAGGATGCTTCCACATAAGTTTCAGCTTTTCTGTCCCAGTAGTTCTTGAGAAGAAGATTTTTTCCTATATATTTCTATGTAAAACTTTGATTCCCCATTGTGGCCCCGCCCTGTCCCCCGGGGGTCATGATTTGAATAATTTAGAATCTACAGTACCCTAGGATGCTTCCACATAAGTTTCAGGTTTTCTGTCCCAGTGGTTCTTGAGAAGAAGATTTTCAAAGATTTTTCCTACACTAGTATATTTCTATGTAAAACTTTGATTCCCCATTATGGCCCCGCCCTATCCCCCGGGGTCATGATTTGAACAATTTAGAATCTACACAACCCCAGGTTGCTTTCACATAAGTTTCAGCTTTTCTGTCCAAGTGGTTCTTCATCAGAAGATTTTTTAATGACCCCACACTATTTTTGACTTCTCTGTATTATCTCCCCTTGTGAGGGGACTTGGCCCTTCATTTTAACAATTTAAATTTCCCTTCACCTAAGAATGTTTTGTACCAAGTTTGGTCAAAATTGGTCCAGTGGTTCTTGAGAAGAAGTCGAAAATGTGAAAAGTTTACAGACGGACGGACGAACAGACGGACGACGGACAAAATGTGATCAGAAAAGCTCACCTGAGCCTTCGGCTCAGGTGAGCTAAAAACTATGATCACGTCAAATTTGGTTCAATTATTTTCAGTGCAAGTCAAACTCCAAGGTCATTGTCTTGAGGTAAAAGGCTGGTATCTAAAGAAAGGACACACTTGTGAAATATAATACCAACAATGATTCCAGAGTCTGTGCAAAGTTAAACGCGGACAAACAGACCAAATTCTATATGCCCTGCCCCTCCCGAATCTTTGACTACGGCGGAATAACGACTTTAAACTAAGGAAAATTAGTTTTATTAAAAGAAGGAACAAATAAATACCATTATTTTCTCTTTCCTCCCTAGCTGTCTGATCTGCATTGCTGATATTACTAATATTGTTTGGTACCTAAGAATATGAGAAAATATAGATTTGTCATTCATTTCTACTTCGTTACAAATTACTACTAGTAATTGATTTTTAAGTTTAAACACGATGACTACTGAGTATATGCGACAATTGAAAGGAATTTTGACTACTGGGGTACTTCCAATGATTGGCTGTAGCGAAATAAGTAAATGAATAGTTAAAACAAATAAATATGAGACGCAAAAATAGCTTCTGTTTGGGAAAAAGAAATTATGTTGCGGGGCATTCAGTGGACGTTCTCTGTGAAAAGGACTTATTAGACATCTCAAATATAAAAAAAATGTCTGAGCGCAGGGCAAACAAAAAAGGAGAAACCCAGCTCTCCCTCAATATAGAAATATTTCTTACCAGACAAACAGCATAGTATTTCTTTTTGCAGTTGTTTGTCTGCATCGTTGAAAAATCCCTTCCGTTTAAAAACTCACATTCTGTCAAAGAATTGGATTCAGTTGGGTACCCTACAAAAAAAAATAAACATAAGCACGCAAAGTCTTTCGCATAATCCGACGTAAAAAAAATTTGAAATGCCATATGAAATAGGAGGTGTTGTACTATTCATACCTTTATCGGCAGTTTTGTACACTTGTCTGCGAATGCCAATCCAAAAGAGGTAAGTAGTTGGAAATCGAGCCCTAATCTCATTGCATTTTCCCGTTGGGTCATCTAAATTTGCTTCGCCATCTAAATAACCGTTTTCTTTCAAACACATAGCATTACTAACATTCCAAGTCCCTGCTGTACCTGCTGCTAAACAAACATATACATTAGCTCTTTTTTTTTCTTGCCATTGACAATCATGTGTATATTAGTAAAAAACATGTCTAAAAAAGGTGAAAATAAAGAACAGCAGAACAGTGATCAATCTACAAAAAAGATGCGTTTGTGAAACACTGGTACCCCGAATGACAGCTTTTGGTGAAGATGCAAGTTTCACAAATACAAATCAAATTCCAAGGTCAAGAGATCAAAAAAGATGTTAGCCCCCCCCCCCCCCCAATGACTTGTGTAAGTGAATACACCTGTGAAATGTGAAAGCTCAAGTACTAACCATTCAAAGGTTATGGCCAAGATTAAAATATTTAAAACATGGGTCAAACTCCAAGTTCAGGGTCTAGAGGTAAAATATATATGTTGGCACCCAAAGAGAGGCATGTCACAAGGAATATACGTGTGAAATATGAAAGCCATAGCTCCAACAAATCAAAAATCGTGGATAAGGTTAACGTTTTTGCGGTCAATCAGCTGACAGGGCAAAGATATATACTCCCGAGGTGTCATAAAAACAAAAACAACACACAAATGCAAATTTGTAAACAAGGCATAAACACGGACCTCTAAAGCATTAGAGATGGGATCAGGTGCATTGGAGGAGTAAGTATTCCCCCGATTACTAGTCACAACCGCTGTGAGCCTTAAGTTTTGATCCAGTCGTAGTGAGATTTAATACAATCAACTTAGGCCTTAAATTTGTATTACACTAGAGGTACTGTGAGCAATTAGCTCACTAAATGATACCCCCGCCTCTCGTATGATTATAATGGAAGAAGTCCATGTTTTGCTGTGGCCGGAAAACCCAAAATATGTATCGGATCAAAAAATAAAATAAGAGGTGCACAATGGCAATATGTAATAAAGATTCTGTGAAAGTTCATTAAATTTCACTCAGTGGTTTAAGAGGAGTTGCGGATAAGAGATGGGTACCCCAAAGCGTAACAGACGGACGGACGGACATACCGATTACTACATACCCTCCCATTTTTCAAGCGGGAGTTATAATAAGTCAGCCGAAGTACGTAACAATGGTAAGATAATTTGTTGACATGATCACTATAAGACCATAGAATTTACGAAATGCTGACTTGAAACAAAGTTGCTGAATCCCCTGTTACATCAAATTATTTGTGAGTAAACTGCCTCGGTTTTAATTTTAAAATTGTAAGTTTTAAAATTTCATCGTACTCAAAGCATGCTTCTCATTATCAAATTAGTTGGAAGATATAAACAACTTATGCAGATGATTGCGTATTATTACTTCAAAAATAAGGAAAGCTGAATTAAGCCACCTCGTTATACCCCCTCCCGCTTGAAAAGTGGGAGGTTATATAGTAATTTGTTATACAATTTTGTTACGAGTTGGCCTTTTCTCGCCTATAGTCAGTAAAACATCTAATTATGAAAAAGATGAAACAGATATGCTGTCTTCTTTTGTGATTGATTTTTTACTTACTTTTATTATTGGAACAATATGGAGTCAGTGGAACTGTACAATTTTCGGCTTTATATAATTTATTTCCACCATCACATGCAATACTCATGCACAGTGTGTTCTTGCCTTCATCGTAAAAAAGAAAGTTTTGTTATTTAATTATGTGTGTGAAATTATATTTAAAAAATATTATACATCTTCTCATTCTGAAATATCATTAACTACGTTTCCTATCGAATATTTATATCCCCCGCTTTAAAGCGGGAGGGTATGTAGTAATCGGTATGTCCGTCCGTCTGTCTGTTACGCTTTGGGGTACCCATCTCTTATCCGCAACTCCTCTTATACCACTGAATGAAAGTTGATGAAACGTTCACAGAATCTTTATTACACATTGCCATAGTGCACCTCCTATTTTATTTTTACTTTTTGATCTGACACATATTTTGGGTTCCCCATAGCAAAACTATGGAAAGCCACAGGGGACCCCCAAGTCATGTTCTATATATTCATAGTAATTCAATCTTGGGCGGTCATGTTTACAATCCCGGCCAAGTCATGATCGGCCACACGGGACTCCCAAGTCATGTTCTATATATTCATATACGAATTACTATGAATATATAGAACATGACCGCCCAAGATTGAATTACTGTGAATATATAGAACATGACCGCCCAAGATTGAATTACTATGAATATAGAGAACATGACCGCCCAAGAAAGGGACCAAGTATAGACGCGCTAAATGTGATACAGAAATGTAAATGTAAAAGGGATTCATTGCATGGAGCCTCGGGTCTTAAGACCAACGACTGAGAACACATAAGATTAAGATAACATTTGAAATAATTTTGATAGTAATTAAACTAAAGGTGCTGTGAGCAATGAGCTTGACTAAATGATACCCCCGCCTCCCACATGGTTATAATGGCAAAGTCCATGTTTTGCTGTGGCCGGGAAACCCAAAATATGTATCGTATCAAAAAGTCAAAATAGGAGGTGCACAATGGCAATATGTAATAAAGATTCTGTGAAAGTTTCATTAAATTTCACTCAGTGGTATAAGAGGAGTTACGAATAAGAGATGGGTCCCCAAAGAGTAACAGACAGACGGACGGACGGACGGACATACCGATTACTATATACCCTCCCGCTTTTCAAGCAGGGGGTATAACTATACTTAGCACTATATGGTCATTGAGAAGTGTAGAATCTTTTTTTCGTTCCAGGAACCTTGATACAAAAGACCCGTTTCAACGTCTTGCCGTGGAATTCGAACCTGCGATGTAAGGATTTCTTATCCTTGACTCTACCCTAGAGCAAATGCTTTACCACTGCGCCACACGGGCGACTATCAAGATATAGGCATACGATGGTGAAAAAAGAAGATGCGACAGATATACTCTCTCAGTTAGGAATCAAACATACAGCGAAAGTATATCGCCTAGTAGTCACACATAGCTTGTTGTCAATACCAAATTCAGGTTGCCCAAATTTTGTGGAACAATCTTGAAATTATCTTAAAATTCTCGTAACACGGTTTTCTATAGAAAATATTTTTATATCTGCCATTACAGTTGCAACATTTTTTTTCACGGATGGTGATTTTAATTATCATACATATACCATGTGAGTAGAGTAACCTCCACCTTCTGAGAATTTTTAAAATACAATTCATTAAAAAAATACAATGTACATGAATTCCTAGCATACTTTACCTTCATTCTGATATCTAGCCTTGGGATTATGAAGCATTTAAAGCTTGATTAAAATAATTAATAACTATGTAACAGTTGCTGCGCTGAAATAATGTTGAAGACAGTTGAAAAAGTCTTAATGATCCTACTTTTAGGACCATATATCGCTTCAATTTTTTATACAAAATATTTGCTGTGTATTTTATTTATTAAAAACAGATTTTAGCTTTTGATTTCTTTTAAATCGGTTATATTAACAAAGTGTTGTTGAAAATGTAAGATTTGATCTCTTTTATGCCCTCTTTAAAACTGTTCTGTAACTTCATATAATAGATTAAAATTTTGAGTGAAAGGGGGTGGAGGGGGTATGCAAGCACTCTCCTTTTACTTGGACCATATAAAAGGGAAGTTAGCAGGAAGTTCGAATCACAATGTATATAAATATTGAATTGCAATATAGCATAACTTTTGACGATAAAGCAACGCATCAAATCCGGATACAGCGTTTACAACCTAATCACAAACCGGTATTCATTTTGTTTGACATTGATAAAATAAGTCATGGACTCGAAAGTTTCGATACTT